TTTTAAGAAATGAAATGCTCGGACATCCAGTGGGAAGAACGTTAGACATTAGTGACACCCCACAAGAACTATGCACTAACAGTTCCTGAGAAATTACGTGATTTGCTGAGGAATTTTGCTAAGTTTATCTCCAAGAACGTCTTGCATGGGTTGAAGAGGACGATTTGCCTGAGTACTGATTACAAAAGGCAAAATCATGTGAGAAAATCGACAGCCAGATGGTAACTACCTTGTTCTGGGCTTGTGAACATTTTTAGTGTCTCGCGGAATGTCAGCTTTTGGATTTTGGAAATCAACTTAGCTGCGATTCTTTCATGTTTTATGACTGCTCACCTTTCTTTTAACCAGGAGCTGGCTGTTTATTTTTAATACTCAAGTTTGGTGAGAACAAACACTGTAAACGAAGTCGAAAACCTTTCGTCATTCACATGGGTACGGCTCTACTTACTGACCAGAGAGTTTAGAAACCTTTGGCAGAAATAACACACATGTGCAGAAGTTCGTTTTTCAAGTATTGGTTAAAAGTGAGACCTAGGTCATTGTTTTTCTGGACAACAAGTAGCTCTGTGTAAGTTACCGTGTATGTATCAGTGCCTTGGTGAACAATATGGACTATAATGCACTGGGAGGGATTTATCAACAGCTCCATAGCTCTATACCATTCGGATAATTTCTGCAAGCAATCTTGATGCGCTAAACTATTATTTTCAGTACATTTGCTTTCCACGAGTTTGGTCTGACTTGAGCTAACTTATTGCTAATAGCAGCCATAAGTAAATTCCAAACTAGATGTTCATGGTCACCCTTAGTTAGGAGTAGTATATAAACTCCAGCCCATTATGAGGACCTATCTCGATTGTTTTGCGATGCATGCGATGCAAGTAAGGTAAAAAGATATCCCAGCATTTTGCATCCAAACAGCGTTGCATGAAGCATCTGAGAGCTTACATCTGTGGAACTATGGTCTACTTCTTTATTAGTACTGCTCGAATAATAAACTTCAACCTTAAATTGTAGATTTTTCACGTGGATACCTAATCTATATGATCTTACGTGGAAGTTACATCATTGTCCACACTGACTTATCGTATCGTAACAATCAGCAATATGATTGGCGTTTCCAAAGAACACATTCGGGCTGGAGATAGGACAATATATTTAATATGAATAAAAGTTACAAGTTGTACACGAAGCTTAGTCACGCCATCCAATGAATCCATAGTTGGCTTTCTTTTCGTGTCAGTTGTTGAATGAACGTTCTTTAATTAACTATATGCTCTGCCTGAAAGATCGTGTGGTTAGGGTCCAGTGCCGATATGCATTCATCCTTTCCTCACGTCGTTGACACTAAGACATTTTGTGACGTGAATACAGGAATAATGACTCATAACTTAGTATCTCCCCGGGGTAAAATCTTCGGGTCATTTTGCTATTCATCACGTCACGTCTTGAATTAGAGTACGGCTGGGCACTACATAGTTCAAAATTAAGTTACAGGATTCCTTAGTATTTGAAGGAGGAAACTATGATGTTTGGAAGTATTTGAATTATCGTATGAACTAGGAATCCCAGAATTAACGCAACTGAATGAAGAAGTACGACACAACCACAAATGAATGTATTGTATTTGGAATTCAAAATCGAGCAATCCACAAGTACAGAGGTATCATTAGTTCGTTCAAACACCACAGAAACACAAAACAGATATCTCTCGATCGAATTCTCCAAGAATTAATACGTTGCACCGTGAAGAAATGTTTCAGTTGATCTAACCTTAACTCAGGGTCACTAAAGTTAAATCCTAGGGGTTGAGATTTCTTGGCCATAACCCTGCCCATCTCTACATGTGACAATTTATGATTATGTATGTCCAGCGCTTATAAGCACCTGTTTTAAGTTGTGACTAAATTGTCGTTAACGATTTGTACCATTTCTAGATTTATAGGATCTTAAGCGTTCGGTCCTGAGAGAGCACCGCCACTTCGTTCGTGGACATTAGTATGGTCATGAATCTGTTGAGCGGTTTTGAATAAGCTCTTATTTTACGTGATAAGTTAGTGTGGGAATACATCTTGTCTCTCATCTCCTTGGCATTGGGTCTACTCCACAGTGCCAGATAAGAACTTTGATTGAAAAATGTTGAGACAACTTCTCATTTATGTCAGACTATACTTTAAGCCTGATGTAGGAGTTCCCTGCAAAGATTCTATCTTTCGAATTGTCGTTACCCAGTATAGCCTCCGGAATAATATCCGTCATTATCTCTCAATGACCATCCACTGTTAGCTACGACTAATTCTGATGTCAGCGAACATTTGTCCGTAAGATCCTTCTGTAGGCACTACGTCCTCCACACTAAGACTTAAATGTAAATTTTCTAAGTCCATAGCTCAAAAACCACCTGAGTTACTGGTGATATCCTTTGATTTTAAATCTTAGTACCTATAAAAAGTGTTGTATATTCTAACCATGTGCTTGGTGTGAATCGACTTAGAACGACACTGAGGACGCCCCAGCCGCTTTTCCAGTTTGGTTTTGAATGACATTACTCCCCTCCACATCTAAACATTGTCATACCCAGAACTCTCATTTCGTCTTTCATGGCGTAAAAACAGGGGAGATTTGGGATACATCTACTATTTTCAGGCAAAGCTGTGTTTTGCCCATATTGCCCCCAAGTCGCTCGCGCATGAGTGAACTAACATAAACCTCTAGTACCTGTCGGGTGCTGTGATATTACAGTGGACAGCCTCTACAAAACTTTCGCCCATGTTCTGAGTTGCTGACTTTTACTAATGACGAGTGCGGAACAGTTGAACCTACAGCACAATAACTGGGATTACCTTGTTATTGGTAGAGAAATATGTTATGATGATCATCTGCAACCAAAAGAACACAGTTTATGTAATTGAAATGGTTGAATACTCCTAAGTGGTAATGGAAACTGCAAATTATGAACTTACGACAGCATGTATATTCTACTGATGACATAACGAGACATCTATTACCTGATGCCGATGCAAGTCTGGATATGTATTTATATGCTTAGAATGATTACTGTCACTAGAATTTAAAATGATCTGATATAACAAAGACCGATCTGCGAGTCTTTGTTTTCTGGGTAGTTCTGTTCGCAAGAAGCCTTCCATTGAAAATACCTTACCTTATAAGTTGTCCATGGTACTAATTTGCTTCGGTCATATATGTCAAACTAGATGTATCCACCAAGTGAATTTGGATGACATACTCATGATTAACTTTAATTCTTCACAGCTGCTTGAAGCATGTTGCTGCAACTCATAAAATACAGACATCGAACAATAAAACTGGCCTACATATTGCTTCAATACATTTATTTTGAAAATATTCAAACTGACTTCTTCCGGCAGTATTTGAATTAGCAATAACTACCCCACTGCTAGACGGATTGCATCACAGAAAAAGTCCACACTATAACATGAGGTTTGAAATAAGTGCACGAGGTTGTTTATGGCGAGGTTCACTGATAACATTTATGACACCAGTGAATCACTGTTGCTTCAATATCCCGATTGCTCCCACTGGCGAATGACTGGTGTTCTACCCTACTAGTTGGTTTTATTCATTCAGAGTGGAAGCAAACTATGTATGTAGTCGGCTCCTGATCTTTGTTAACTTGTGGTTTGCAAATAGTTACCAGATTGAGAACCTACTAATAACATTTCTAATCCCCAAAAACAGCTAAAAGAAGAGGACCTCAACACCACCTAGTGAAAATGTCTGTGTAACTTAGGAGGGATATGCCACATGTATGTATATATGCCCTGTTTCAAAGAACTAACAGAGTATCTTCTCTAGGATAATCAATTAGAGAAGCCCCAAGCAGTCAGTCAGTCACGTGGAACTTCGTAGGTACGTACATCAGTTCGAGTTGCCACACCACATTAGCACAGAGATGCAGTTGTCGATTCAAATCCCGTAGTGGTAGAGGTAGCAAGAGTATAAGCAGTAATAGGAAGATTAAGGTTTGGAGATGTTATTTAAAGAGTATAATCCAGTGAAACAAATTTGGAAAGAGGAAAAAAGGGACATGGGAATTCAGAAGATTAGAATTCGGGAGAACACAGAGAGTGTATGCACCTGCGCCATTGCAAACGATTTTGAGCCATGTCATTCAGGTCTCTAACCATCGGTTGCTATCATCTCGCGGTCCCCAACCAGGTAGTCTACACCTACCAACATGACTCAGACCACTTGTCAGTGACTTCATGGACTTGTGCCATGTTTTGGTTTGGCCGCCCCTAGCTTTCTTCCAACCTACTCCTATACCACTGAACATCGTACGTCGAGGCAGTCGGTCGTTGGGCATACGTAACACGTGTCCCATCCATCTCAACTGATAAAGTTTCACTACGTCATCAATTGATTTGCCATCCTTACCTAGTACCCGTTTCCTAACAACTGCATTACTTACTCGGTGGTCCCAGGATATACGAGCAATATTTCGAAGACACCTATGATCAAATACTAGTAGCCTACGGATATCCTCTACTCTTACCGGCCATGTTTCACTGCCATAAAGTTGGACGGAACGAACTGCTGCGCAGTAAACACGTCCTTTGGTTGATAGACGGATATCTCGCCTACGCCATAAATGACGCAAGTTGGCAAAAGCTAGTCGAGCCCCAAGCAGTGGATCTTATCGAATGATTGAGTTCGTAATTAAATAGATAGGTGAAGCTTATTAACATTAGTAACAACGTTGTATCGTTGTTAAAGGAAAATCAGAATGACCTACCAAACTACTAAAACACTCTATGCACAGACTTCTGAATCCAGGGTCCTAAACTGACCATATGTAAACACTGCTTGCTAGTAAATAAAATCCCTCGAGCTCGCACGACACAGTAAAGATTACTCTGTAGAATATCAGTCGCTCACAACGACACTTACGAAATTAAAACTCTTCATACTCTTATTTCCGAAATTAATAGAACTAGGCTGAATCGTGGACCATCTACCACCAGATAAGCATATATTTACTGATCAGTTCAAACTAGGCACATAAAACAATCACAATTAACGTAACAGCATAAATAGAGTCCGGCAGTAAAACCGAGTATTTAGGGAACGATCATTTACAATAAGTTGATCATCAGACTCAACAGATATAAGTTTATGATAAATGTATTTGCTTGTGGTTGAATTAAGTATTGTAGGATGAAAACCTTTAACAGGATAAACACATTAAAACAAGCCAATCGTAGGCTAGAAAAGTTGCCTAAGGGGTAGGAAATTATAATCAAGCTGGGAAAAAGTGAATTATATGGACAGTAAACCATACGAGAAGTGTTATGTTGTGGTGATCAACATAACAACGAAGTCACGTGAACACAACACGTTACAAGAATGTTATAAAGGGAATTATTATGATTATAAGAACATGTGAATGAAGAAAGATGAGTATGCGACTCAGAATAGAACAAGGTAGAGATACATAAAGGGGTTGACAGTAAAAGTCCATAAAAAAATGCCATATGGGGTGACCGGACTATGAACGAAAATGGACATAGAAACTGAATGTAACTCTTCCAGGTGCATAGATCTTTCTTCTTGAAGGCTACGGTCGTGTAGACAAGGATCTGCCACGCTCCTACTGGCCGACTGACTGTCCACAACTTACTGTAAGAATATAGGCTTTTATAAAGCAACCTTAAGTGTTTACAGATACTGCATCTTGAACCAATTCAACCAATATAAAAATGTCCCCTACCACACCATCTGACATATAGCTCAATCGTAGCACCCTCGACTCATAAATGTTCTCTAATAATGAGGTTGTTAAAGTCCTGTGAAGAAGTCTTCGTTTTCGAATATTCCATAGAGGTTTTAAATTTACTTAAGTTTAGTGAAAAACTAGTAGCAATAAAAGCAGTAAGTATGGAATGCATATAAAACTATTTACTTGGCTACATGTTCAAATGCAAATGTAACGACTCAAAAACAAGTTCGGGAGTTCGATGAATAAGACAAACATGCACAAATTTGTAGAGTATCTCCCTTTCAACGTTCAGTCTGTGTCCAATATCTAACCCTTTTCCATTTACTTGGTGAGTGAAAGCTGCACTTCATGCCATAATCTTTAATGAGGATTCCACTTGAAGCTCTATCACTTTGTTTGCCTTCCTCATCTGGTAAGTTGGGATGTGCAGCAGCAGCGTATTTATAGAAGACATACGTAGTTTTAGATTTCTGAAATGGAATTCTCGGTAGGAAATAATGCTTTAATGTGTGTCGCGCCTACTAAATGAGAAGAAGAATGTTAGACATTGTACTTTAACTGGATATTAGGAAGGGACGATTATCCTTGTCCGTGTTCAAGTTTTATTTGCAGTAACTCATCAGAAACAGATCACATCATCTTAATTATACGTATGTAAAATTTAAAAAATCGATGATTATCTATGTACATAATATTTACAGTTTCCAATGATAATTTCACTAAACATGCAGGAATCTAGAAACGCGTCATTATTTTACAGATGGGAGATCTACAGAATTTGAGATGAGAATATCAATTGTATCCTTTATACAGGTTCATCTATTTCCTAGGAAACAAATAAGATGATACTTGAGAAGTATAAAACAAAAGAAAAAACGAAATAATATAAAACTTGAACGACATTACTTATATACATTGTTGTAAACTTACAACGTAGGGATAAAATAACTGTTTGGTTATTTAACTGAAGTTCGAACCGTAGATTACTTTTTAGGGAGGGGTAATTAAAAATCTGAAATCCAAGAGGGTACACTGAGAACTCAGTATACATAACGAAATATACATCCACTTACTAAAAATGGGTAACGGTATAATTAGGTTCACTCAATAATAAGCTTTAATTTGACTTACCACTTATATTTACATCTTTGTCCGTCCATAAATTACTGTTAATTATTCATGACTCATCACTTGTAGTGTTCTAGTTTAGTACATACCGTGGTTTATTAACTACAGTGTGTCATAATTTATATACATGATCATGTGTTTTGAAATCTGAATAATAGAAATTAGTGTGCAGTTCCTGTCTGAACACCCTGAAGTCGGAAATATGCCATAACAATTAGAGTGCAATTACACAAAAATATCTTTTCTTGCATTTTGGGTGACTACCAATGAACTATTTACATAACTCACCACCGAGAAACCAAACAAGTAAGAGGTAATTCTATTAAGTAAGTGACTGATCATATTTTCTATCAGCTTCTAGTAACCCCAGGTAAAATCTAAACGGCAAATTAAACACACGAGCAAAGGAGCGAAATGCAAAAGAAAGTTTTCCTCGGTGTAGAGAGTCATGAGTATTTATATTAATTAACATGGCCTTAATCGTTCAGAAAGTTCGACAAGTATACTAAATATACGAGTAAAAAGGTAATTATCCAATTAAAAATGTAACGTGATGTCACCCTACTAGATGTTTCGAAGAAACGTCCATTCAATCCTGATTGCATAAAATATTTCCAAGAGTTTTCTGGGACCCTACTGAGTTTTCCGAGGAGCACTTTGAAACTACCTAACAACCTAACTTCTATTAGAATATAAGACTTCTTCAGACAGCAGATATAGCAATGAATTAGATGTGAATCATTGGTTTTTTACTCTTGTTCTTATCAGCTATTCACTCTTTTATTATTATTCAATACTATTCAAATCAATCATCACTTTATTTAAGCGCTGATCTTAATGTGAATAATATTTGGAAATAATAAAACTACAAGGCAGATTGAAGATCATCACTGAGCTTTAGCAAACCTTTTTAAAAGCCAAAGGTCATTTTTTATCTCACAAATTCAGATAGTATTAGTGAAATAATCAACCTACAGTGAGACTATATATCCACACAACTAAAAATATATGTTATAATGAGGAAAATAAACGATAGAGAAAAACTATTCTCCAAGCCATAAGAATTCACAGTTTTCTGTGTGTAATTACAAACAATTGAGTTATGCATTTCTGCTATTCCTGTAATCTTAAATTTTCAGCTGATCTATAGACCGTCACTGTGTCATACATTATTCCCAAAATATTGTAAATAAATCGAGGTTGGTATCCTGATTTTTACTTTAATTGCCTTATTTTTTTTTAGACAAATTATATTTCCAATTTATTGTGTCGAGGTCTAGATGTCTATGTTATTAGGCATGTACCGTTTGAGTAAACGTGATCATCTAATTTTAATATGAAGGTTATCTACTACAGTCGTCTCCTCTTCAACCAACTGGTCAGTGTCTGTAAAGTAGATTATTAGTCAGCTAATAGGAAAGTTCCTACTCGCGAAACCAAATTATTCACAACCGAATTCACGCATTCAGTCTCAAGGCTACACTAGGTAGCCTAGCATATATAAGGACGTTTACTAGTCCCAGAGCAGATTTTCCTAAACATTTAACAACATAACCAGTGGACAGATTGAGGTCATAACAGTTTAGAAGGTATACATGTCTGTCGTTGATTGCGTTACAAATACATGGTATGTTTTTAAAACGGTAAACAAAAAGTGTACCTTTAATATCCGACCAACCATATATAGACTGCCAGTGACAAAACATCACAGCAAGTTGTATTATTGGCTTCATCATAATTACTATATTCACAAGGAAAATATTTCAAAGCCTGAAGAGAAAAACGCTGCAAGTTTTGCATCCACTTTATAAAAGCAGATAAAGATTTGACATGCTTTGAAGCAATTGAATGTGATGTAGAATTACTACCGGTGTTCGATTCCGATTCGAGTTGACGCCATATATTGAAGCATAATTCATCATGTGACTCTTTACTGGGAAGAATTTCTAGAAAACATAAATAAAAAGTCGATTTACTATTTATTATTAATCGACTAGAATTTACTAATGAGAAATAAATGTTGAACTGATACAATATTAATGTGAAGACTAATCGGACACCCAAACCGAGATGGATGGTTAACTAAGAGTGAATTACTTTGAACATTTGACCTAAACGTCCAGTTCAAAATCTAACGGGACAACATCAAGAGACGAAGTGCCACGATAGCCGATGACTGGAGCGATTTGCTGCACCATTCATTCTCTTGATATCCATGTGGACAATGGTTTCAAGTCAAGACTTTCCAACTTCCCCAAGAGAATCCTTCGTATCCACTAGCCCGGCTTAAGCGTACGAATTCCATCACACCTTCTCTGTAAAAAACATAGTTAGCATTTTAAAAAAGTAGGAAGAACGTGCTTAGAAGGGGTTATAAATGAGCGATCATATGTAGGAACTTCAAGATAGAGAAAGCGATCCCATCCAATTCCGTCATACCAGAGTATTTCATTATTCGAATAAACGAAAAGTTTACTAGTACAGAAATCGAGTAGCCATTATACTACTTATAGTGACTTGAAGTATTGCTATACTTGGCTAAGACTGAACTCACTAGTACATGACTAAAAGCCTCAGAAAGGAGCACTATTACAACACTCAAAGTTTCTGTATGCAGAGAAAGCTACTGAACTAACGTACTTTTCCTGAAGTTTGACTACAATCAAACGAAATAGGATAGAAAGATCTAGAGCCGTATATATATATATATATATATATATATATATATATATATATATATATATATATATATATATATATGATACGTACAGTTGTATTAGCGTCAGCATTGACCATTGGTTCAACGAACATTCAATCTAACCATGATAAGCGTACAACATTCTGGTTGGCTTACATCAGTATCAAATGAAGAGGAGTAAAAAGAGTAACACTGATTACAGTGGTGAGGTAAATGCAACGACCACGTTATGAGGTGAACGACTGATATTAAAAAAATGTATAATATCACACGAAACCCAGGATTTATGGGATGATCGAATTTCGGCAATGTTAACCAAAAATTACGGCTAATAAACAGATGTTAACCATCAAGGGTATATCTCCCAGCACACAGCTCAAACAAATCGATAATGACTCAGTGGATTTCTGTCGTGTCTCGGTTTGGTCGCCTCATTTTCCAATGTTCCCCAGTAAAATACACCCAGCCAGATAGAGGCTGGACATACGTTAATTATTTTCTAGCCAGTTTAATCAATGAAACGCCACGAATCTAATATTTACATAATGATTTCAAAGGGAAATTTCGTCTGAAAAGCAAATGAGATGTGGAAAATGAATATCAAAAGTTTAAAAAATGGAGATTGACTTAATCGAAGTAAATAATCAAGTAACAAGAAAACCTTACGTGCCAGTATACGAATATCTGCACAGATTTAACAATACAGTCCTATTCAATAGTTTATCATACCTAACAAAATACTATAATATTGAATTCAGCCTAAATAAATTTGTTTGAAAGACCGTACAATCCTCAGATCTACACAGATTCGTACTAAATTATGCGATTCTGGTATAAATCTACGCACTTTCATAGTAGTTACACATATATTCCTAGAATCATGTTAGAGAGTGCCTAGACAAAGAAAGAATTGCTTCACGTTTCATGAAGAGATAGCATTAAGAATAATGTAGATTAGATAGAATTACCAAATTGACCATCGTGAGGATTGGCAAAGACAACCAAATCGAATGCGAATGAGGAAGACTGAAAAATAACAAAAATTAGCAACATGAAATATATATTACCTAATAATATAAGTGTATAGTGATCGCATTACATATCACATACATATACTGCATAAATATCAAAGTGTAGTATTTAAATAGAACTGAATAGTTTGAGAGAAAGCTAAGGATGGTCGAAGCAACACGTGACTTCAGTTCCTAAAGTTAGTGACGGTTGATCTGGGCCAGGTTACCTTGTTGATTTCTTCAAAATAACCTCAATTAGTGATTGGAGACGTTGAGTGTCAATTTTGAATCCCTATAATGGTGTAGACTCATTTGTTTCTTTTCTTTCAATCAATCTTAAGTTTCAGTGCTCTTACACACATACCTTTTTATTCCGTTTTCTAGAACCAAATTCTTAATTTTGGATATTTCCCACTGCTGTTAGTGGCAGTGACACACTTGATGGAGAAGCTCCGGGAGAGTTGGGAACTTTTACGTACCTGAGCAGTATCATTGATAAATAAGAATCTAATGCAGATGTGAAGGCATGAATTAGCAAAGCAACTGCAGCATTCCTACAATTAAAGGGTATCTAGAGATTAAAACAAGTGTCAGCCAATATCAAAATCAGAATTTTCAGTACGAAAATCAAGGCGGTTCTATCGTAACAAAATGAAACTTAGAAGACTACTACAACTGTCATCAAAAAAGTACAAGTATTTATCGAAAACTGTCTACTCAAGATGATTCAGATCATTTGACCAGACATCATTAGAAGTAATCTACTGTGGCAGAGAGCAAACCATCTCCACCTGAGGAGGAAATCAGGAAAAGATGCTGGAGGTATATAGATTACACTATTGAAATCATCAAATTTCATTAAAGAGAAAGACCTAACTTCTAATCCCCAAGACAAAAGGAAAAGAGACAGATCAAGCAACAAATTAAGGCTGGGAATTGTAGACACATCAAGAACAGCAACTGGAAAGTAGAACCGAACACAAAGCCAGTTGGAGATCCCTGATAGGTGTTCTAGGCCACACGAGAGATGATAGGCATAAGCAGGTAGTTGGCAGTACAATTATTTTTACTCCCTTGCCATTCATTATGTTAATTTTATCCCATATCGGTGATGTGGGATAGTAACTTGGGCTAAGACACATTTTTTGTGGCCTTTACATTGATTATGATTGACTGCTAAGGCGTTTCTTGAGGAGTCCGATGTTCCTAGTTTTAATTTAAAACAGTGTTATAATTTCCCTTATTACGACCAGCTACTCTTATTGCTTAGTATTCTTGGACACTACTCCACTCGACAAGTCCCCAAATCAGAACACGGTTGAGCAGGAACGTAATTATATTCCAAATAAAAAGGGTGGATGGTAGTAGGAATCATAATAAGAGAGACGTTGGTATATTTATAGTTTTTCCGTAAGAAAATTCTAGTCTTCTCCAAGTGTCCACTAGCTCTAACTGGATAATAGCGAATCAGAGTGCCCCCAATATAATCCAGTACGAAGCATGCTTTAATTCAAATTATATCCCTCTAACAAACTGAGTCACGAAATTCCACAGATAGGAACGTTACAGTTGACTTAATCAAATTGAGACTACAGCCTGGAATAGTTATATCAATCGGTTAAATTCTGAGTGGTGAGGTCAATTTTAACGATGGAGCCTTAATCTCAAATAAATTATGAACTATACAAAGTCCAAATTTGTGAAAGAAATTTTTCCCAGATTTGATTATTTCCTTGCAATAGAGTGGACCTGGAATAGGTATCTTTTATTACGAAGAGATTGGAATATCAAATATTTATGGAAACAAATGTGAAATTTTCCCACAAATTCTATCCAGATGGAGAATTTCCGAGAATATTAGTAAATATCCATTTCAAAGAATCAGATGAATAATTTCTAATAACTAAAGCTGTGATTGAAATTGTATTAATGCATGTGTCATTAAGGTCTAGGAGTTACTATAGGTAAGTAAGATATTAACTTATTCCATACGTATGATAATTGGCCTTCAGCTACAATTTTCGTGTGAGTGCTATTGTTACTACATAATTGACCGAACTAAAGGAAATAAATCTTAGTTTGAAGCCATGATCTATAAATTGAAAATAAGGTTTTTACAAAGAATAAGTAATTACACCAATTTACATTCCTGTAATCAAATTATGGCTACTTATAATCACTGAGATTATTTACATTGTAATAAAAAACCGATATGATTCTATTAGAAAAGGAATCATTTCACCGACAAAGCGCTTGACATAATCGTTTCCTGATAGGTGAAATATGATATATAGAAATAGCAAAGCGATTAAGAAAATAAGGGGAAATTAACAACGATTATAATTAATAATTCGGGTTTCTTCAACAGTGGGCAACCACGACCCTGCTACACAAGATCAAATACATGGCCATCCAGCGAGGAAGATACCTTAAGACTACTGAATTGAAACGTAGACTGTCGGACTCCAATTTCGTTGCTCGACAATAGAATGTTAGATACAGGATCTGTTTCGAATAATGTAAAGTCATAAGTATTTACGTATAAGAAACGTTTTCAACTGAACCAATACAGTTGTTGTTGGAAATACTAGATCCCAAGAACGCACTTTGTAATGTTATTACGGTAATCCGAATTTCTCATTTTCGCGCCAAAAGCGCACACATTTACCTTCAGTTTGTATCTCCCACCTGAAAGGACCTTGAATGTCATTGGTTCGTTTCCTCTTTTAGTACGCTAAATTGTGACGTCTACCAAGGACATTCGTGTACTATATATATATATACGCATAAGTTGTGTGTTTGTTCGTTTGTGCTTCCGGCCGATTGTGGAATATATATTTCTCCTGGCTGAATCTGGCCTTCTCCCTGACTGGAATTGCTTAGTTTGCTCTGTTGTTGTGTTGCTAACTTTCGTCCCGTTAGCCGGTTCTAGATGATATCATGATCGCTATAAACATAGCAGTTGTACAGTTCACTCTGCTCTTTAATAGCTCTTGAAATCATATACGTTCATAACTGAAAATTATCTTGAAATGATACAAAATATTCACACACCACTACCATAGTAAATAATAAACATTAAATTAAAAGTGTAAATAACAAAACTAAAAAGAAATTATTACACTCAAAAACTCTTACTTGTAAACATTTTAAAAATGGCTTAGGATCTCGTGGACCAATTACAGTGAAAATAATAATTCGTATAGGACGTCTACCAAACAAATAAGAATATTAGAATGGGAATTAATCATGTTAAGATAAGTGCAAAACTACGTTACGTGACAAAGAGAGAGCGAAAGAGAATGAAAAATTTATCCTACGTTTCAATAGAACAAACTCGTGAAATAAAATAAATTGTTAGTGTTGAGATGACCAATATGAAACGTTAACTTGAACCAGCGTATACGCTAAATGAAATTATGAGACTCATGATTAGAATGAATAAAGGTCAAACAGAATGAGAGAAATGTTAGTTTAATTACAAATTCGATTAAATATCTGGAGGAAGATACAAGGTTATATGAATTCAATAAGAAATAATAAACTGCATGAGGTACATGAGGTTGTGTATGATACCGTTTGATAAGTTGATACACGATTCATTTTAAAAATTTTGATTGTACTAATTAATTTCTCTTTTCTTTCCTTTTCATTTGTTATTAATGTGTGTTCTTTTTAAAAGGCTGGAGGTAACTAATAACTTTGTATTGCTGGGGTGTGAGGATCAAATCTAGCAACATACGCTCGTTTCTTATTTTTATGAATTCATTTACTAATGCGAAACTCAAAATTACTTCATATGAAAGAATTTTGATCAAATTAGCACATAAATGGGTTGAGATTTTCGTAAATTGTGGTCTACTATCACTTCGTTAATACATTTAACAAAGTGATAGGGAGAAGTCAGTGAAAACGATTTTGTTTTGTTTTTTCACTCATCGGAAAATACAAATAATAACACATTCTTTATCGAATGTCCAGAATTTTTCAAACCAATAGATTTGAACTTGGCTTGGACACTTATACACTCTGATTTATTCATATTGATCAATAATTGTGCAGTATGGTATTAGTTAAGTCACAAAAGAAAAGTAAGATTCCAATAATTTCAGTCCCCTGTGCTAATGGGGTATGGCAACTTGGAAATATTTACACACGTATCAGGTCCTACGTTGAGCTTGATTGACTGACTGAAATATTAGATTATGACGACCAGAGGGTAGAGTGAATGAGCAAGAAAAACCTTCGTCAATAAAACGAATAAAATGGTATTCAACATTTTAAAAAAATGTACAAAAACATACCTGTTATTATTCGAAGCAAAGCTCTCATTCTGAAACCATTTTATTGCAGACTGACAAGAAGAAGAAAGATCAAACAGTACAAAATACACATTATGAGTGATCTGTGAGAACGTGAATTGAAGTATGAAGAAATAACAGTTAAGTTACAAGATGACCAAATAAAGACAGTGGAGAGAAAATTGAAAACCTACCATCTAGTTGGTTTATACCAGTATATATTAACTATTAAGTTACCGCTGAATATTTACACAGGAAAGTCTAACGAAAAGTAATATCTGAAGATACGTAGACAATTTCATCAATAGACATATAAATATACTGAATAAACAATGATTTCAAGATTTATTCAATTACTATTTTCTTCTTAACAAAACAAATGAAGTATCATCGATCTATGTTGATATGATTATATGGAGATGGTAAAGAGTCCTGCTGGTGTTCATTGAGCTAGTTGGCTTAATTATAAAACTTTTATTATTTGCCTATACAGTATTAACAGGATGTGATTTAAGAAAATGAATTTGTGACTAGGATTTCTTTATAAGTGGCTAGTAGATTGTCCGATCGATATGAGATTTGATTCATGGTTATCTGGAAGTAAGTTGTTTACTGAATATGCATATATATTCCAATTTCCTCTATTCCTGCGTGATTTTAGTTGATAATCATTTTTCTGACTAACTAATAAATAGATCGGGGATCATGTAGGAGTGAAGACCTTAGTGGTAAAGCTTTTGTGAATTCACTACTTTCCTCGGTCTGACTCTATTAAAAAAACTTTCCAATTCAGTTTATTTTCGTCAATATCTCAGAGACTAAACAGTCAGATAATAGTTTATCGTTTCGATAACTATCATAAACAATTTCAGTAGTTATATATAACAAATGATTTGGAAGAGAACAGATGGTGAAGGATTCTATACTAAGATGCAGTGGCCATCCAGTGTTTCCAAGTTATCAATGATTATCTAAGTATCAGCCCGTGATTTAAAATCTATAGAAATCCTACCATTTCCACAAAACTGTAGGCCAAAAATTTTAAACTGCTTGGATCGCTGCAATAAACATGTAACTTATTTACAAAGTACAGATTTATTTATCCTAAAATGAACTATACATCTGGTTTCATGGCTGGAATTACTTAATGGATGCTCAAATCGAAATCGGGTGGGCAGAGTTCAAAGTTATAACTAAAAGTCGAGTGATTTAACCATAAAGCTAACATCCTACACGACTAGTATCTAATATTCCTATCATTATATAACATTTCCATGATTTTCCACAAACTGCTTCCTGTCAAATGGATAATAAAGATAAGATAAATATGCAAATTCAGTGTTGTTATCAAAGTATGTATATATGAATCAGAAATATGGGCTGTAATTCTGCTAATCATAGCGAAAATGAATGTAAATTACGTGGTATATTGTAATTTGCTATTATAAATGCCAATTAATAACTTTAGTTGATATACTCCCCATAAACATTAAAAAATTTTCAAACTCATTATTATTCACTGATTAAAACGTCTATTTGGTAGTGTGGCAAGCGATATGATGCAAGGTTGCAAGCAGTGGTGTTGAAAAAGATTATGTAAACAAATGAATTTACTAGTTTTTATAACACTACAGTTATAGTCGTTTTAATTTACACGATATCATTAATCGTCATTATTATGTCTTGTAGCCGCTGAACAAGACCACGTGTCCAGTCAACAATCAGAATCGCGATCCTAATTTCGTCTATTTCGCGCCCATCATTTACTCTATAGCTTAGTGTCTCTGACATGGCCAATTACACGCCCTATTAGCACTACTAACCTCAAGCTGACACAACCAAGTTTTTATTCGTCCACGACTCCAAAGCTCCTCTCTATGCCCTGTTTTGAGTCTCGAAGTAGAAATCAACTGATATGTCTCTAAATTAGGCAGATGCGGTTTATATGCAGACAGACAAGACCACATCAAACCTTAAAATGAAAAATAACAATTAAATATAAACGAATAAAAAAGTGGCTTTGAAAGAAAGAGAGTAATCTAGTTACTTGATAGTTATACAATAAGAATGTGTGATAATCTATTAAAAAATCTTTCATTAAAACCACTTTATTCTGAGTTATTTTCACTAGTCACAATCGATTTTTTCGTGAATACAGTTATTGAACAAATAAATGGTTTGAGTTTATATATATACTTAGTGTTCAACTTTATGTGCACCTTATTCTTACACTAATTACATAAGATGAAGTGATTTGCATACATTATTTACAATTTTTAAAATGATAGTTTTGGCACAGTTTCGTCTTCTGAACTGAATGATTTAATGGTGAAATTTCCATTATTACACTGAACATCATCAGTACAAACTTCAGATAGAAGTGAGTTATTCGAATTCTTTCTCATACGACTGATAGTTTGCCTTGTCGACCTTGATCGGCTATTATTGACCTTTACTTTATCGTTGTCGGCATATTCATTTTGAATATTTTCCACCTGTGACTCGATGATTATTGATGTTCTACCGAAATCACCCACCTGAGCTACAAATGTTTGCCATCATCAATTAAGAGTTTAGTATGCAGCTCAATCATTTCAATAAAACAACTAAAAAATTTGTAAAACACAAACAGTACATTTCATGGGATTACACAATTAATTACATGCAAAAATTACAATTCCTTTATTTATCCAAATTATACTCACTTGTAAACTTTCTACAGTATGTGCACCATCCAGATAATAAGTTATATTTTTTCGAATTACAATTTGCCATCGACCAGGCCATCGGGCGGATAACGCATCTTTGGAACAAATAAAGCCCACAGTAAATATACATATCGCTTAACCTCTAGACTAATTAGCTATTATAACAACATTTAATAGATAGTTGACATCCATCCTACAAATATCCTCGTCTTAACAGTTTTCGGCCGTGTCTGGTTGAACACATACAAACTTCAGGCAATATTGACCTCTTTATACATAATTTCTGACTCAAAATCATTTTAATTTTCATAACGAAAAACCTTTTTACGTAATTATGGGCCGTTATATTCGAAAGCACATTTTCTCAGCTATTGATGACGTTTAAGGTTAATTAACTATCCCGTTTGCAAGATCCTACTATAGTGATTTATTTTTATATTTAAACGTATATAGCAATTTCTACTAGTTCAAGTGATACGTTAGAACAATTCACTGAAATAGTTAGATGGAAAATAACTGCTTCCTTGTGAATTAGTAAGTTTATTAGTTTTCACATACTATAATCGCTACTGTAATTAGAAATCACTGTCTATAAACATACCCGATAAACAGGTTACCGAATTTTGCTAGTTTACTTGTATTACATGTATGGTAGTCCTACGTATATTGAAATTATATACACGTAATTCTTATCGATTTTCTGATGTCACGATAATTGAAGACTACACTCTACATGTTCAATAGAAAAATCAATTCCCATTTTCATCTCAATATCTATTACTAACCAGTTGTATCATATAGGGCTCGAATAGAGTTGATGTAGCTTTTCTTTCTATAGTTACACAACAGTTGGACCGTTGCCAGCCCCCAAATGCCCTGATATGGCCGAGAGTGCGGTGGGCCCACCCTCCCTCTCGGAATGCTCTCACACGGCCACGCGTATACAGCCTCTGCCAGAGAAGTCCTACTCACTGTCTTCTCGTAGCGGGGGAGTTGTTTACGAAAATGAGAGGACGAAAAGCGAATGTCCGGCGCATTAAGTGGATTCCAAACCAATGATGCACATGGGCTCCAGTATCTTAAGAGAACAAATGGCGTATGAACCAATTTTCGGTCATCTCCTCACGATGGCGAGTAAAGCCGCTTGCGGCTTCGCAAAACGTCCTGCTTATAAGCACTGGGTTTCGTCAGGCTCTTTACAACTCATCGAAGCCAATCGGTCTACTCCGGGTGACCGTGAGTTTAACCACAAACGAAGGATGTTTCGTAAGGAAATCGGGCAAAGCTTGCGTAAGGACCGAGAAGCCTGGTGGTCGGAGCGTGCTAATGAGCTGGAAGCAGCAGCTGCATCTGGTAACTACCGGAAGCTCTTCCAACTCATCCGAGCCACTGGCAGCAAGAAGTCTGGTGTGAGTGAAACAATCTGCGAGGATGATGGGATGCCAATCACTAACATCCATCGACGTCTTGGACGATGGGCAGAATTTTTCGAAGGGCAGTTCAACTGGCCTGCTGCTCCGGCAACATCGGTCAGACTGTCCTGCCCTCCATGGCCGGTGACGACTGATCCACCAAACGAGGAGGAAGTCCGCAAGGAACTCCAACTCTTGAAGCGTTACAAATCACCTGGCCCAGATGACTTACCTCCGGCTCTTTTTAAAGATGGTGGTGACTTTTTGACTAAGGAATTGACGACGTTGTTTACAAAGGTTTGGGAACTAGAGAGTGTACCAACGTCATGGAATGAGTCGATAGTTGTCCCTATCTTTAAAAAGGGTTCACGTCGTTCCTGTAACAACTATCGGGGGATAAGTCTACTTCCGATTGCGTCCAAGCTATTGGCTTCCGTCATACTTCGTAGGTTGTTCAAAACCCGAGAAAGATTGACTCGCGAGGAGCAGGCTGGGTTTCGTTCTGGTCGAGGATGTATTGATCATATCTTCACCCTCCGCCAAATGTTAGAACACCGCCATACTTTTCAAAGGCCAACAATCGTAGTGTTTCTTGACATCAGGGCTGCCTTCGATTCGTTGGACAGGACTGTTCTCTGGGATTGTCTATTGAAGAAGGGTGTGCCTGAGAAGTTTATTAACATCCTAAAAGCCCTGTATAAAAACACCTCAGGCAGAGTGAGGGCATACAACCACCTCTCTCCATTGTTCCATTCGAGCAGTGGGGTTAGGCAGGGTTGCCCAATCTCACCATTCCTCTTCAACTTTGCCATCGATGACATTCTGGAAACAGCTCTGATGAATGTAAGTAATGGTGGTGTGGATCTGTTGCCTGGAGAAAGACTTCTCGACCTTGAGTATGCGGACGATATTGTCTTACTGTGCGATAATGCCCAAGGCATGCAATCCGCACTTAATCAGTTGGCAATCAGTGTCCGTAGGTATGGTATGTGCTTTGCACCTTCGAAGTGCAAAGTACTTCTACAAGACTGGCAGGATTCTAATCCTGTACTCACCCTGGATGGTGAGCAGATAGACGTAGTTGAGAAGTTCGTGTATCTGGGTAGCTGCATAAGTGCTGGTGGGGGTGTGAGTGATGAGATCAATGCACGTATAGTGAAAGCCAGAGCGGCTTATGCCAATCTGGGCCACCTTTGGCGCCTTCGTGATGTTAGTCTGGCTGTAAAAGGTCGGATCTACAACGCGTCGGTGAGAGCAGTTTTGCTCTATGCTTGTGAAACCTGGCCTCTCCGAGTTGAGGACGTTAGACGACTCTCTGTGTTCGATCATCGCTGTCTCCGAAGGATTGCTGACATTCAGTGGCAACACCATGTCAGTAATGCAGAGGTTCGGCATCGTGTGTTCGGGCACAGAGATGATAATTCAATTGGTGTCACCATCTTGAAACACCGACTTCGGTGGCTTGGACATGTTCTCCGAATGTCGTCCCAGAGAATTCCACGTCGTGCATTATTTGCCGACTCTGGGACTGGTTGGAAGAAGCGGAGAGGTGGTCAGTGCATGACATGGTGTCGTGGTATGAAAGAAAGCTGCAAAGGACTGGCTTGTGTTGGTCCTTCACGACTCCCTGGTTGGGGTCCGAGAGATGGTGCTACACAGTGGCTAGAGACGTTATCAGATATGGCTCAGAATAGAAGCCAGTGGCGATCCTGCTGTAACCTTCTCTCACCTTCTTTATAACAAGTGGTTGGACCTTCCTTAACTGAAAGAATTCTTCTGGTTGCATCTTTCCGTTTCCTCCATTATTATTATTACTACACTACCTTACACTAATCTGTGGTAGTTTTTGTTCTTTTTTTCTTTTACGCTTCTCACCTTCTTTTTTTCTCTTCCCATTCTGATTGTTTTGTGTGGCGCATATATATTCAGTGCCCCCTTGTACCAATATTTATGTGTTAAAATAAATAAATGTGTGCCGTTATGCAGGTGACCGAATATCGCATGCACTGTGCTTTGGATGACATATGGTCAGAAGTCAAATCAGTGGAAAACCCTGAATTTCGTTTCCGTGTTACCAGCAACTTCTCACTATCACGGTGCAAATTGGTAGGCATCATGCGATTCGAACAGGCATCACCAAGCGTTATCACTGAGTCATCAATGCTGTGACTGACATCCTGTAGAACTAAGATATTTATACGAACCGGTCACTGAGTAGTAACCAATGTCGCATATACAATAATCTTTTGCGTGATGATTGCAAATATATCTTGCTGATGAATAACAAATAGCAGAAAATCTCCCGATCACTTCGGAACACCTAAAGTTACAGCACGACACATGTTTTCTCGTTTTTCTTAAAGAGTGAAAACTTACTAAATAAAACAGTTGAACTCGGTTTCCATTCAGATGTCGGCTGTAAACCTGGAACAAAAAAAATGGAAGAATGACAAGGAGTAAAGTGCTGAAGAAAGGAATTCATAACATACTTGATACAATACATGGATCACGGTTTAATTAACCGAGTGTTCTGCAAGCTACCAAATCATGCCCAACAAATTAAGGGTAACAAGATTTATTATGAATCAAGTGAACATTTTGAATGCACATAACAAAAATCAACTAATTCTGATTTCTTTACGTGATTTCTCGAAAATAATCTACCATAACCTGTTGAGGACTATGACAGTTGTTGAGGGGTAGCAGGAAAGCTGCAATGGAAACATTATGCTAGTAAATAAGTCCAGTATGATTCATAGACTAACATCTCCTTCTATATCGGCACACCATCACTTTCCAGCTTATTTTCTATTGTTGTGGAGTGATAGCTTGCCCTTCAATCATTAGGTAGCAGATTCGAACGACGATCCACTCTACTTCAGTCTGGACAATGGAGTAGTACCATCAATTGTTACACAAAAATTTGAGTGTCTAAACCTATACTTTGAAATTGTGTTACATTTGTCTGTCATATTGTTCACTGAAATTCGTGTTTAATATATACCTTTTTAACTTCATGAGATAATGGAGATAATATGAAATCTGTCACAAAATATCTGATCAGTGGAAAAACTCAATTATTTGAGCTTTTTCTTATTGTACAGTTTGTTTAGGCTGTCTATATGATAGAAGTAACTGATTTAAAATTAATTTCGTGACAAGGTTTAAAATAGATTATTTTAAAAATGTGACTCAGTGAACTGATGTCCTGTTCTGATTTTTTTCAACCTATTTCGGTTAACAGAGTGTAACGCATGTCCTAACCATCACAACTGATAAAGGCTTTATAATGGACTTACTTTGATTACTCAGTACTCTTAGCCTATCCTCACCACTCCACTCTATGTGGTCACATTATATACGGGGAATGTTTCGAAATTAAGTGTAATCAAATACTTGAAGTCTACACACATCTACTTTCATAGACTCTATTTCGCAGCAGCAGTATATTAGTAGAGAGCAGACTGAGGCGTAAAGTACTTGCCGTATGATCGGTCGGTAAAAAAACATCTTGTTCACAACGCAAGTGATGGAAGTTGGTAAAAGTAAGATTATATAACACTATCTCAACATCTGACATCATTGACATCCAATAATTCTGTTTGCAGTCGAAATGACCATTAAAAACAGACAAATTTTCAAAAACGAGAATCATTAAACTTTAACAAAACAATTAATCAGCATAAACAAACTTTTGAAAAAAAAAACATACAATTAAGGAGAAAATAATGTAATAACTAACCAATATTTGTAACGTTATCATTATTAGTAGTTCCATGTAATTTAGCAAACCAATAATTTATTGTAGTTAAACTTAAAGCAAGATTTAATAATTGACTATTAGGTATGGTATTCATATTGTCAAAAATATCTTTAAATGGCTCAGTCATATTCTCTGTAGTCAATAGTGAATCTAACGTAGGTGCAACATACAATGGACACTGGAAATCAAAAATACAAAATAGAAGTGAGAAGACACAACATTTCGATCATGTATTCAGATAAATAAAAAGTAGACTAATGCATAGAAAGTTGAACTTTGCTTAGTTTGTCTATGAAAGGTTGGCATTTTCCTGTTAATAATTTTAGTGAAGGTAACTAATTGGTTTCTCATAGTATATGTGCACCTTGAGTGGACTGCATCGAAATTGTCATGGGATTCAATCAGTCAGTCAGCTACAACGTAGGACCAGGCACATATATGCATCGGTCCAAGTTGCCATACCTCATTAGCATAACAAGGTGAACACAAAATTCATAGAAGTGGCTACTTCAATGGTAGAAATATATAAAAGAAGGACTGCATATAAAGATATAATACAGGAAGAAAGAGTTAGTTTGTAGAAAGAAAGGTATAAAGTAATTTTAAGCTCATGGTTTAAGGCAACACAAAGAGCGTATACATTGATTCTGAGTCATGTTACCCAGAGTCTCCAACCACTGGTTACGATAGTCGCGCGGATCCCAACCATACTTTTAGTAAAGTTTTTTATTAATTACTATTCAACAAAAGTAAATGATGAAAGTACTTGCTTTGAAAATCACTCGATTATTGATTCGAATACTATTTGATCTACTTTATACTAATTAGTCCCTTTGATAAATTTCAATAGTAATAAGAAGATGAAGATGATCAGAACTATGTGATATTAATGTATCACACATACACTTGAAAACAGATATAAAAATAAAAGATCAACTAGACTAGAAATGGAGGGTAAGAGGAGACAAAGATAATAAAGAAATAATATGAAAACAATTTGAAACCTTATCACTCTGGATAATAAGCTAATATTACTAGGGTAGCTTTAAGGTGAGAATAAAGTGTTTTTTTGAATACACAAAGAGGGTTTAAATTTCCGTATGGCTAGGGGTTCAATAAATCTTAGTATACACCCTTTTACACTTTTGTACAACACCACAAAAGCCGAGTTAAGATAAATCTTATGGCATGTTTCATTATTCGAAATGTATTGAGCTAATATATCACATAGTTCTGATAATCGTCTTCTTATTTACTTTAGTTTGAGTAATCAAGTACTGTTATTGCATTCTTTCAACTAAAGTGTAGAGGTAAATCCCCAGTACCTGGATTTGTACGTGATGAATCAAATGAAAAGAAATTGTTTGTAATTATTTTCTAGAATTCAATTACACAACACATTCAGGACTTTGAATTTTTTCCCGTCAAGTTCGAGGAATATGATGTTCCATAAAAAAGTTTTCTACATAGAATAGTTGAAAGCAAATTTATCAGTTTTTGCAATAAATTATTTGCTGTCCTTCATATTTCTTCATACATTATAAATGATTATCTATTGAACAAATATTATTCTAAAGATTAGTTAGTTTATGATGAGGATTTCATAATTTAGCGATTACGAAAAACTTGTAACTCTATAGAATTATCAAGGCAGGCATATTCACGATCTAAAAATGTCAACAGAGACCGATCAACTGCAGTCCTGAGTAACAACCGCGAATTACGAACGCTTACTGACAAATAGACGCGCATTGAAAAAGTCAGTGGTAATTTGTGTTCAGTAGCTCAATTGAGAGGAGAGTCCCGAATAAGACAAAACTCTCTTCATGGATTCTATTGACAGCCACAATAAGACCAATTACGATAATCTAAGTTATGAACTTTTTCTAATTAAAATAATCCAGTTATTCAGAAGGACATAAGTATATACTTAAAAATGTAAATAACACTGATTCGAAAATTGTTTTGTAACTATGAGAGTAAGTCACGGAATGTTAGTTCATGATGAACAGAGAAAAAACTAGTTTTATATAGTAAACTAACCTACTTTTCCTGTTCATTTTAAATGGGTAGACAGATCGCACATTTAAATGATATTTTTAAAAAAAACATAACATGTACAATTACTTTAACAAGTTCAGCTTCTTCAACAAATTTATGCATTGCTTCATCTGATTGCCCATGACTGACTAATGCTATAGAACCAGTCTTTTTGAAGATTTACATCATAAAAAGTTAGGTAGAATTAGAAATAAATAAAATTAGCATTCGATCAAAACTTGGATTTCATAGGCAATAGACATTTCAAAATACAAATCTAGGATTCGATTGCTGTTAGAACTACCCGAAAATTATTTGAAGTCTTGAAAAGTTGGGAAATAAAGTTGAAAGTATGTCATCCAAACAGCATTCAATAGAAAGTTCCCAGAATATTTCATAAAAATGGTCGATTACGTATTATAACCTGACTGAATGATTGCTAGCAACTTTGGCATATCTCCAGAAACTCCTAAGTAGCAATATTACACGTAAACCTGAAAATAATCTTGTTTTCTGTACCTAGACAAACCTTGAAAGTAAACCTTTTCATACTTACTGTTAACTCATTTACCAGTACAGAGGTTCGTATACTTTGGACTACACTCTAGATATAAGTGCTAATGATACTAACTAGTTGCTCAAACCGAATTAGGTGAAGTGGGGTTCGAAAGAGTAACCTATTAATTCAATGTCGAACGTCTTGATCGTTAAGCCAAAACTCAACAATTAGGCTGTAATAAATCTGCACTATTTATTAATAAAGCAATTCTACTACTAATTGCCACAATCACAGACAGTTGGTATTCAGTGTAAAATGGGAAATGAAATGAAGAGTATGAAGTCTATCCTGATAATGTTGATAATATTAAGGGTGATGGGAGTAGAGTATTTTTTGCATCCTTGCTATTCTTGGAATTCTGTCTAATTTAAAGTTTATTTCTCAAATAAATAACCAGACAAGTGAATATGTAACCTGATTGTTTGAAATATATTGAACCCATATTATTAATTGTTCTTGCGAATTTCTTATCCTCATAACACAAATTATAGATTGAAACTTAATAATGAGAATTAATAGGGTCTATGAGGCCTACAAAACAATGGTGTGATGTGTGGCTAGTAGAAGCACAATGTGATTGGTTACCAAACGCAGGTAGGTAGGCCCTCAACTTACTAACTATTTAATGTGTGAATTCCTTTCCATTGGCGATTTCCACTTTGGATTCCCTGTTTGAGTGGACTGCTAGTGTTTATGTCTAATATATCTCTTTTTGATCTGGGTTTTTTATTTGTTGTTGCGAATCTTGCAATATGATCACAATCTGTGTATAGAGCATAGGTAGACTATCCAAGCTAATGGTGGAATTGTATTAACAATTTCATTTCGCTATGCTAATGCGATGTGGCAACTTGAACCGATCCATATATGTACCAGGTTACGTGTTGCGCTTTACTGACTTACTGATAATGTGAAAAGTAACAGCTAAGATGGATACATGTCTTTACCAAAATCTTATGGTATTTAAGTCTTTTCACATTTATTTACAAGAATAACCACGTATAAATACTTCAGCGAAACTGTCAGAAACGTCATTCAAGAATTTGCAAAACCACGTTTTCTAACTCTGTTATTGAGCAAACACTTAAATATCTAATCATCTTCCTACATAAGTTCAAATTTTTACGTTAAAAAAGAAATAACAATTCCTGAATATGACTACACAGTACATCAAAAACATAATAGTGAAGACTACCTTAAAAATCCCTGCTTTAGCCCAAGCTATTTCAGCAATGGTATTGCCTAAAATATTTGTATGCTCCAGTGCCAAACTTGTGACAACAGTTACGTAAGGATCTCTAAAAATTTAATATGATTAAGAAATAATTCGTTTCATCTTCTTTTTTTGAAAAAGAGTGAATATTACGGATTGAACACGTGAACAAAAGCAGTCACATGTCAAGTATTTTCAAAAGTATCCTTAAAATTAGAATGCTTGCTTTTTGCAAGTAGTTTCTATTTTTCATACAGAGGTTTTGAAAAGATTAGATTAATTCATATGTTTATACGTTGAGGACTGAATTCAATTGGACCATTATTAAAAACTAGGGGGCATTGGACAAATTTTTTGTTCAAGGACATGATTATTCACGAGTGCACACTTAGCAGCTTTAGATCTTATGACGAAATTTTAAATCTCAAAAAAATTAATTTGGCATCTAACTCTATCCATTACGGACGTTAATTAATAAGCGATATTCCGTAACGAACATCAAATGACATTGATGACGAGTGTTTGACTTCAGATATACCAGAACTCCCTTGATCATGACTTTCCATCAGAATTCCAACAATTCATCAAAAAGGAAGTCAAGCAATATTGAATATTTTAAAAACAATGATAAGAAGTTCGTTTTGTCATTAGGCGAAATGAAAGAAATTTAACGAAGAGCTTACTCATCATTTTCATGAATTAAAATTGTACAGCTGTAATTATTTTCGATTTGCGAAACCTTTTGATGAATTTAGACAAATTTGTTAGTGACGCAATACCCGTCTATTTTACTTTAAACTGCTATTTACTACAGATGACTATAAAATAACTTAACCAGTTTGTTACTGCCGTATTTGCAGTTGTTAATAAATCATATTAGTCAGTCAGTCAGTAACAACGTAGAACTTCGTAGGTACGTACATCAGTTCGAGTTGCCACACCACATTAGCACAGAGATGCAGTTGTCGATTCAAATCCCGTAGTGGTAGAGGTAGCAAGAGTATAAGCAGTAATAGGGAAGATTAGGGTTTGGAGATGTTATTTAAAGAGTATAATCCAGTGAAATAAATTTGGAAAGAGGAAAAAAGGGACATGGGAATTCAGAAGATTAGAATCTGGGAGAACACAAAGAGTGGATGCACCTGCGCCATTGCAAACGATTTTGAGCCATATCATTCAAGGTCTCTAACCATCGGTTGCTATCATATTAGGCTAAGACAGGATACGCTTTTTCTTAATAACCGACCATATGCATAATTCATTTGCTTGTACATAGATCTTGGACAATTTCATCATCAAATTGAGATATCTAAGAGGATATTTCGACATCCAGTAAAAAGGATAGAAATGAGTGCTATTATTGGGGCTTGGTCGGAGATCTAGAATGTATCTCAAAAAGACGGGACTCTTCAAGATGAGTGATGGCAGTGTAACCTATATAAAAATTTTGAGCATAACTGTAGAAGACGGTCACCGTTATCTCTTAGCTAGGAATGAAAGCTAAAAGACTCACATAAGTGTTTCTCAACATAACTAAGCCTACCAACTAAGGAAGTTAAGACACCTGCAACGATTATTGTTTCTGAGGGCCCTGATTTCTGAAGGAGATCAGAACGCCTCCTGCAAAACTCATTTTTATTGTGATTAGTAGAGGGCATTTCCACAAACGGCAAAGAAATAACAATATGTTTCTATATCTTATCAACTTCTCATTGTACCATTTAATTGCACAATACATGAGAAACTATCAGTATGAATACGGGCAAAATGTCCCTGTTCCTATCATGTCTCTAGAAGCATGAAGTGTAGATTGCATTGGCTCACCATACTATCTAGTTTAGATCAAGCTAACGGACCCACTGGGATACTGTATGCATATTTCAGAGACAGCACACATTAATGGCACAATATTCTACGGTCATAGTTAGTGGTGAAGCCTGTTGTCCGACTTGACACAGGGTTTGGACATGCAATAATCCGACGTGTAGTTTAGAGAGTCGTTCCAAAGGACCTACAGTAGCTTTCAGTCAGCAGGACTATTTAGTATCAGAGGCTCATGAAGAAAAAATAAATATTAAGAAGTCTCAGAGTGATCCCAGTGTCAACAAGGTAATCTCGTGTGTTGTTACAGACATGAGAGCGGTTGTTACTTTTCTGTTCTCCATATCGTGGAAGGATATTTCTCCTCAAAATGCCTGAGGAGAAAACTGGATTCCTTACGACTTGAGAGTGTGACTGCAGAACACAAGGGACAACTGACTCAAGCCAATCACACACAACTATTTAATAAACAGTTGTAGATACTTTAATATACTTTTCAGATCTCAACACCGGTGGTGAAAATCTGTGGGACAAGGTGAAATCTGTTGTTTCCAGAGCCTTATTACTGTCATACCCCTATACAGTCAGTAGTACGGCTTCACTCTCAGACTTCAAGTTGCTACTCCTAGTTTTAACGTCCTCCAACTGACCTGAAAGAGATGATAAGACCTAAAGGAACAAGTGGTCCAGCCAATGTAGCCAGATTAAGTCATCACGATATGCAAGTGCGACCACGTCCATAAAAGGCAAAGGTTGAATACATCTATATCATTGAGATCGATCATGACTTTTGTAATTCGACATTCCCAATCAATGGGAACGATAGTAGAGCGGACCTCAGTCAGACAGTTTGTACCTACCAATACTTTTCAGTCCGATGGTTTATAGACTCAAACCGTCTTGCTATGCCCCCCCAAAAAACTTATTATTGTACTATACGACAGATTTGGGATTACTGTTAGCTAGTGTATGAAGCTAGCTTGGACTGGACCCACACAGATCACTAGCAACTAATTATACTCCAAATATAGAGTAATATAAGTGTTAAAATATATGGTACTATTACCTATTTTAAACCATATCAAATGGGCATAATATTTTACTCGACTGGTCTTAAATCAGAATGAGAATCGGACGTCAACAAAAAAATACACTCGAAAATCCAAAAAGCAAAAGTTAGTATAGTAAGAACGTTAAACTGTATACAAAATCTATATAAGAATCTTTTAGTACTTTCCCATTTCATTCATTAGCACTAACTGGCTGAAAATTTGCCCAATCACGATCCTCTGGCTTCACTGATTTTGATATACGACTGATTTGAAGACTATGATGTACCTTAAATTGAAATTTGCAACTTATTTTCTTGATTAGTTACAATCAGATATTTATCACAGATTAGTTAGAGGCAGTAATAGCTAATCAGACATTCGCAAACAACGTGAGACTCACTGTAAACTCAAGAAGTGTTCCATGCACATCCCAAAATAAACTAGCAAAGTGATCACGGGATATGGGCCGTCCGTAAGGAGATGCAGTCCCATGGAAGCCGGTGACCATTAATTGGTTCATACGACTTTTGTTCCCGCAGGATACTGGAGCCCATGTGCACCATTGGTTTGTGATCCGGTTAAAGCGCCCGACATTCGCTTTTCGTCCTCTCGATTTCGTAAACAACACCCCCGCCCCGAGATGGCAGTAAGTAGGACTTCCCTGGCAGAGGCTGTATACGCGCGGCCGTGTGAGAGCATTTCGAGAGGGAGAGCAGACTCTCCCCACTCTCGGCCGTACAGGGCATTTGGGAATATTTTATGCAATATCTGATAACATATTTCATTGTCCATTAATCTTCAATAATCTAAACTATTAGTGGGATATTCTACAAGACAACCAGTACTGTAAAAATAAATAAATGAAACGTGTAGGAACGCTGTACTCAGGGTATAAGTAACCTATCTATTCTACCGGCAGATATTATGAGGTCAATTGGCAAATGAAACTACAGTGAAGCTAAATATTACAATCAACGCAGAGCGAAATGGGACAGAATTTTCAAAAACACAATTGATTAAATAAACAAGAAGTTAACTCACTTGAAAATATTTGTATGATCATAACGTCCGCCAATACCAACTTCGAAAATCCCGACATCTACCTAGAATTAAACATTAAGAGTTAAACCTTCAAAATAAACAAATAACAATAATTGATTCAAGACCATTTAAAGAATTAGAGAAAAAAAAGTTCTCTAATCATTAAAATTCCGAATTAATTGTGAGCTAAATTATGACATTACAGAGGTAAATAAAACAAGACAATGACTGACGATAATTTCAAAGTATAATTTGTGGCAAGCCCATTTGGCTACTGTATCATTTGTCTATTCATTGTAACTCAGACTCTTAATTCACTATGTTAATTTCGGTGTGTATGATCGAATGCATGTCTGTACATTAACTCTCAAGCTATCCTCCTATTGGTTTCAATGTGCAGATAATCGATAATTTATCCACACCCGATTAACTCAAATATATATATGGGTTTTAAACACACACACTCACTCTGTTTCATCGTGTGCTTGCTCATCGTACGCTTGTGGATCATCATTAACAATAAATTATCTCTATAACTGGTGTTCAGACTTCTCAATAATCTCGAGTAAATTTGTAATTCTACTAGGAGATTAAGCCTACCTAAAATACTCAATGAACGGGATATTATTTATTGGAGTCAGATATTGAGGACATTAGCCTCAACATATTGGTTAGCCGCCGTTTCAACAAATTACAGGAACAACGATATTTATAAAATCCCGATGAGTGTGAAAAAATTAAATTTCTGGAGTTTCGTAACTCAGTGAGGCGCTTCTTCAGGGAACAGAAATAAATCAAATTAAATTCATATGAACAGACATACTTCACTCTTAGTTACACTAAAAATATTCTGTCGTGCGTCCTTGACACTACTTACTTACTAACGCTTGTTACCCCTCGTAAAGGAGCATAGGCAGCTCACCAGCATTGTCCATCCAATTCTGTTTTGGGCAATACGTCTCAGTCGTTTCCAGTTGCTATTCATCTTTTTCATGTCTGCTTCCAATTATTGGTGCAATGTGTTCATTGGCCTTCCTCTTTTCCGTTTCCCTTCAGAACCCCAAGTTAGCGCTCGCATCATGATACAGTTTGGTGTTTTCTGTAATGTATGTCCTATTTACTTTCAATGCATTTTCCCAATTTCCTGCTCAGCTTGAACCTGGTCTCCCACAGTAAACTGTTGCCGATGGTATCCGGCACAACGGACATTGAGTATCTTACATAGACAACTGTTTATAAATACTTATACGCTATTGATGATGTTTGTTGTAGTTCTCCAAGTTTCAGCTCCATAAAGTAGAACTGTTTTGACGTTCCTATTGAAGATTCTGACTTGGACGACAGTTGTTTTGAGTTCCATATGTTTTTTAACTGTAGGAATGCTGTCCTTGTTTGCTAATCCTTGCATTTTCATCTGCATCAGATCCTCCACATTCATCAATGATGCTACCCAGGTACGTGAGACTCCACCTCTTCCGAAGTTTTACCATCAAGCGTGATTGGGTTGGTGCTCGCCGTGTTGTATTTGAGGATCTTGCTTTTTCCCTTGTGTATTTTGAGGCCTACGGATGCGGACGCTGGTGCTACACTAGTTGTTTTCACCTTCATTTGTTGGTGTGCATGGGATAGAAGAGTCAAGTCATCTGCGAAGTCCAAATCGTCTAGTTGCATCCAACCTATCCAGTGCACTCCGGGCTTCCTTTCAGATACCGGTCTTCATAATCCAGCCAAACACCAGAAGAGAAACGGTGAAAACAAGTAGTCTTGTTTGACTCCGGTCCTCACATGGAATGCATCTGTCAGTTGTCCTCCATGCACCACTTTGCACTGCAGTCTGTCGTATTAATTCCGGATGACGTTAACGGACTTCTCAGGTATTCCATGGTGTTAAAGAAGTTTCCATCAAGAGTTCCTATCCACACTGCCAAATGCTTTCTCATAGTAAAGGATGTTGATGTGTAGTGACGAATTCCATTCAACTGATTGTTCAACGATGATCCATAGTGTTGTGATTTGGTCTGTACCGATCCTTGTGGAATCCAGCCTGTTGATCTCACAGTTGAGCGTCCACTGAATCTTTCATCCGGTCCAACTAAACTTTGTTGAACACTTTTCCAGTACCGATAGCAGTGTGATTCCTCCATAGTCCTCACATTTGCTCATACCTCCTTTCTTTGGTATGTTGATGAGATATCCTTCTTTCCAGTCTGTCAGCAATTGTTCTTCCGCCCAAATCTTCCTGAATAGAATATGGAGTATCTTTGCAGTTGTTTCTATTTCTTACTTCAGTGTCTCAGGTGGTTTATTGTCAGGTCCTGCTGTTTTCCCATTCTTGATGACCATTCTGATTTCTTTGATCGCTGGTGGAGTGACAGCGATATGAAGGTCTGTAGGTGCTGCTTCGATTTTTGGTGGACTCAATGGAGCTGAACTATTCAAGAGTTCTTTAAAGTGTCTTACCAATCTGTTCTTCTGTTCATGAATCTCAATGATTGGCTGTTTTCTTGCTCTTCCTTTCTTGAATCCTATCTAGGGTTTCGACAGAGATACTTTCCTTATGATGATGCTTCTTAAGGCCATGCACCTCCTGACACGTTGATGTTAATGCTCCTTTGATACCTTTCCAGTTGCCTCCCATAGTAGTTTCCTCTTCTTTCAGTAGATCTTGTAAGACTTGGAACCTGTCGTTGAGAGTTATCTTGAATTTGTTGAGTTTGTTAATATCTCGAAGGAGGGCTGTATTGAACCTTTTCACTGCGTTTTCCCAGCTGTCCAGTGTATCTTCAGCTCCAGTTTCATCTTGGCAATTACCAGTTGGTGGTGATCTGAAGCTATATCAGCTTATTTCCTGGTTCTCACGTCTTTCATTGACATTCTGAATTTTTAGTGATGCAATTATGATCGATCTGATTTCATGTAATGTGATCCAATGAGACCCATGTACCTTTGTGTATGTGTTTGCGTGGGAATATTGTGCTGCCTATAACCATTTTGTCGAATGTACATAAATTTGCAAATCTGTCACCATATTCGTTCCGCTCTCTCATGTCGTCCCATGATATCTTCATACCCGGTGTTGTTCATTCCGACTTTGGAGTTTAGGTCTCTCATCAGGATGGCCATGTCCTTTCCTGAACACTTCACCATAATCGACTGCAACCTCTCGTAAAACTGACCTTTATCACCGTCGTTGCTATCATTGGTGGGTGCATAACATGGGATAATATCCATTGTGATTCCTGATATGATGGAAAGAAAAGTCAATTTTCGATCGATTTACTCATTATGAGTTTCGTTCAACATTATTTCCATTCTCATTCAATGTAATGACTACTCAATGTAGTATTTGTTTTCTTTCATGATATACGATAATCTTGTATTTCATTGACATGAACTATGCTTAATATGTGACTTGTTATAACTCTAAGTATTTTTCATATATGAGATGTCATCCTAATTATTAATCAAATCGTGTGTACAATCAATACATAAACGAGTGTATTTTTGACTATCGTCGTCGTCGCAGTGTTTTCGGGTTAATAAATCTTCACTTATACCAGTTTTTGTGCTCTTACTTTCGCGTCGTGGGAATCGCGGAGGTCCCTCGCTCCGAATATAAGTGATAAGCGTTTCCGACACAACAATCACAGACAACCGGATGTAGCAAGCAGCATTCAACTGACGAGTTATAACAATTCTCTCCTTATTTGTTTTGATGATCCTGGGTCTATGAGATTTCCATCTTATAAGTGCTTCTTTGGACAGCATCAGAGCAACTCCCTGAGTATGCGGAGCATTTTATTTTTCGTAACTAGAGTACAGCAACATCTCTTTCAAATCTAATCTTTTCTGTTTAGCTTGGATCCAATGGGTTTCATTGATTCTGAGAACCATCAAGTAGTATCTCCTCATTTTCGAAGCTATTTGACTGGTTCTCTCAGTCTCCAAAATTGTCCGAACATTCCATGTACCTATATTAATTATTGCTCTGGTTGTTGGAAGGGGTGTCGGCCACGTGATTTCCTAAGAATCTCACCTTTCATCTTGGGGCATCATATTTCTGGATGAAGGTCCTTCGACACGAAGGGTAGAGTTTAAATAGTCTAATTTGTTTATTCTGGTTAGCGTTTTTTAGCAAGGTTGTTTTCTACGGGATGGGGTTACTGACCCCATGCCCAACCCTCCTCCTTTACCCGGGCTTAAGACCGGTAGTCTGTTTGTGTAGCTTAGACGTTTGTTGGAACATGTTACGATTTCATAAGAAAACTCCATTACAATCTACACATCCTAGTCTGCGGACATAATTTCGTGTCGAAGTGATGGGAACTTTATCATTTATTTGAACTAAAGCATTTTGAGGAGTTTTCGTTATTTTATAGAATGCTTTAGCCCTGTGCGATCTGATGATTCATTGTAGTTCTTCTCTAGTGCTTTACATGTAATATTTTCAGAAAATTTTGCTAGTGTCAGTCGAAAAGAATATTTTTTTAAATTGTCATTTTAAAACTCATAAAATACACATGTAAAATTGGAAATGGCAACTTGGAATTAATACATTTAAGTGGATCAATCTGGAGAAAATCTAAAAAATCTTTTATAAATACCCACGAATATCACACAATATCATCGTTGATTGGAGTTGAAATAAACCTTTTTAGTTTGTATTGCATTCTCAATTAATGACTACTAGGTTAGAGAGTTATTCAGTGGTATTTCGTCGTATATTGCATCCGGTTTCCGCATTAAGAAGCACAGTTAAGATATAACACATTATCTCTAAGGTGAACAATTCACTTCAGTTAGCCTGTAGCTCTAATAGGGTTACTGCCGGTCCCAAGCCCGGGTAAAGGAGGAGGGTTGGGCATGGGGTTAGCGTCCCCATCCCGTAGAAAACTAACTCGCTAAAAAAACGCTTACCAGAAAAAATAATCCAAACCATTTAAACTCTGCCCTGGGAGTTAGAAGGTCTTCAGTTAGAAGAATTATGACGCTTCATGGTGAAAGCCGAGTTCCTTCGGAAGCCACGAGGCCGATGCCCCTTCTAACAACCAGAGCAAAAATTTTTATAGGTACATGGAACGTTCGAACAATGTGGGAAACCGGGAAGACCAGTCAAATAGCAATGGAAATGAGGAGATACAACTTAGCAGTACTGGGAATCAGCGAAACCCACTGGACCCAAGCTGGACAGAAAAGGCTAGCTACGGGAGAGATGCTGCTATACTCCGGTCACGAAGGAAAATGCTCCACACACTCAGGGAGTCGCTCTTATGCTGTCCAAAGTAGCACGAAATGCACTTGTAGGATGGGAGTCTCACGGATCCAGAATCATCAAAGCATCATTCAAAACAAAGAAGGAGGGGATCTTAATGAATATTATCCAATGTTATGCACCCACCAATGATAGCAACGACGACATTAAAGATCAGTTCTACGAGCGGCTGCAGTCAATCATTGAGAAATGCCGAAGAAAGGACCTAACTATTCTGATGGGAGATCTAAATGCCAAAGTCGGAATAGACAACACTGGATATGAAGATATTATGGGACGACATGGACTGGGAGAGAAACGAAAATGGAGAAAGATTTGCAAATTTGTGTGCATTCAACAAATTGGTCATAGGAGGCACAATATTTCCACACAAGCGTATACACAAGGCTACATGGATCTCACCGGACCACACTACAGAGAACCAAATAGATCATATTTGCATCAACAAAAAATTCCGAAGGACAATGGAAGATGTGAGAACCAGGAGAGGTGCTGACGTAGCTTCAGATCACCACCTAGTTGTAGCCAATTTAAAACTGAAGCTAAAAAGAACTGGACAAGTGGACAAACAGCACTACAAAGGTTCAATACAGCCTTCCTTCGAGATACTGACAAACTCAATGAATTCAAGATAGCTCTCAACAACAGGTTCCAAGCCTTACAAGATCTACTGAAGAAGAAGAAACTACTATGGAGGACAACTGGAAAGGCATCAAGGAAGCATTAACTTCAACGTGTCAAGAGGTTCTGGGCCTAAAGAAACACCATCATAAGGAATGGATCTCTATAGAAACACTGGACAAGATCAAAGAAAGGAAGAAGACAGCAATTAACAACAGCCGAACACGAGCAGAGAAAGTCCAAGCACAAGCTGAATACATAGAAGCAAACAAACAAGTGAAGAGGAGCATTAGAGCCGACAAGAAGAAATACGTGGAAGAACTAGCAACGACGGCAGAAAAAGCTGCTAGAGAAGGAAATATGAAACAGCTTTACGATACAACGAAGAAACTAGCAGGGAAATACAGTAAACCAGAGAGGCCGGTCAAAGACAAAGAAGGCAAGCCAATCACCGAAATTCAACAACAGCGTAACAGATGGGTGGAATACTTCGAGGAACTCCTGAATAGGCCGGCTCCAATGAATCCACCGGACATCGAAGCAGCACACATAGATCTTCCTATAGATGTCAACCCACCAACGACGGAAGAAATTAGAATGGCCGTCAGACAAATCAAGAACGGGAAAGCAGCAGGACCCGACAACATACCAGCTGAAGCACTGAAATCAGACATCGAAGCAACCACAAGCATGCTATACCTTCTATTCAAAAAGATTTGGGAGGAGGAACAAGTGCCGATGGACTGGAAAGAAGGACACCTCATCAAGATTCCAAAGACAGGAAATCTGAGCAAATGTGAATTGCAGCACTACGGATCAACGTCGAACAATCAGTTGAGTGGAACTCGTCACTATACATCAACTTCATTGATTATGAAAAGGCATTCGACAGTGTAGATAGGAGGACACTATGGAAACTTCTTCGACACTACGGAGTTCCTCAGAAGATTGTCAACATTATCCGGAACTCATACGACAGACTACAGTGCAAAGTAGTGCATGGAGGACAGCTGACAGATGCATTCCAAGTAAGGACCGGAGTCAGACAAGGCTGTCTACTCTCTCCCTTCCTCTTTCTTCTGGTGGTCGACTGGATTATGAAGACCTCGACATCTGAAGGAAAACACGGAATACAATGGACAACTCAGAATCAATTAGACGATTTGGACTTCGCAGACGACCTAGCCCTCCTATCACGTACACACGAACAGATGCAGATGAAGACAGCCAGTGTAGCAGCAGTCTCTGCATCAGTAGGCCTTAGCATACACAAAGGGAAAACCAAGGTCCTTAAATTCAAAGCGGAGAACAGCAATCCAATCACTCTTGATGGCGAAACTCTGGAAGATGTAGAATCCTTCACATACCGAGGAAGCATCATCGATGAACAAGGATCGGCAAAGCAAGGGTCGCATTCCTACAATTGAAGAACATATGGAACTCAAAACAACTTTCAACCAATATCAAAGTGAGAATCTTCAATACGAACGTCAAGGCAGTTCTACTGTATGGAGCTGAAACTTGGAGAACTACAACAACCACAATCAAGAAAGTACAGGTATTTATAAATAGCTGCCTACGCAAGATACTCAACATCCACTGGCCGGATACCATCAGCAACAGCCTTTTCTGGGAGAGAACAAACCAACTTCCAGCTGAAGAGGAAATTAGGAAAAGACGATGGAAATGGATAGGACATACATTACGCAAATCGTCAAACTGCATCACGAGGCAAGCCCTAACTTGGAATCCTGAAGGGAAGCGAAAAAGAGGAAGGCCAAAGAACACATTGCGTCGGATTATAGAAGCAGATATGAAAAGGATGAATTACAACTGGACGGAGCTAGAAAGGATTGCCCAGGACAGGGTTGGATGGAGAATGCTGGTGAGTGGCCTATGCTCCTTCACGAGGAGTAACAGGCGTAAGTAAGTAAGTAGAGATGCTATACTATATGCACTGTGAAACATTCAGCTCTCAGTGGTCATTCTGTCGAACTTAACTCGAAAAATTTTATTAGTATTTCATTCGCATGAAGTTTCTATGGTTATGTATAAGTCGTTCGGTCCTTCTAGTCGAATAGATTAGTTCTTATATTGGAGGTACCGTCCAGTTCGTCATCACTTTCAACCCCAATCAACGTTATGTAGATCAAAACACTAAGACATAAATATCTTCACATATTACTGGTAAACGCTCAAAGCCAATAGACTAAAGGACAAAGGTAAACTCACTTTCTCATCAACAAATGCTTTACAAGCCATCACAAAAATGTAATGAAGAAATGATGGCATAGGTATATTAATTGAGGTTTTCTACATAAACACAAGAAAATGAGAATAATATGAGTGAATTATTTAACTTATCAGGTATAAATTTGTGCATTCATATTGTTTGGTCGAGAACTAATGATACTCTGCGATTTTCTAAACGGTGGACGGAATGGAGCTTACATCTATCAACAAGTAGTTGATAGACAAATGTTTTAACTACCATTTGAAACGGATCATTTATGTACTTTTGTGAGACCTATCAAGTACCATACTTACAACTCAAACAATGAGATTTGAAGTCTAATATACAAACATGTACTTAGTCATTAAGTTCGACTGAATTCATAGTTTTCAGAAAAAGAAATCAACGAAATTAAACTTCACCAATTCAGATATTAAGATATTACACTGATTACATCGAAAACATTGTATTATATAAGCCTAAAACAATGATGGAGTACGGTAAAAATATAAAACTGCTCTCCAAAAGCTTGTATTAATATCTGAAATTACTCTCAGTTGGTGTAACCAAATGAAATATTAACAACGTTCAGTCGATCCTTTTATCTTGTTAGTTCAATTGACAGGATTTTATTGCATCATCTGAACTGCGAATTAAATATTATGTCAGTCATACTCAAATTAAAACGTGACACTTATGCGTATCGGTTCAAGTTGCCACATCACATTAACACAGAGATAAAATTATTACACATCCCAAAGATGTAGTAGTATTAATAGTAGTAAAGAGATTGCAGAACTTAGATTTCAAGGGAAGGGAAACAGTAAATACATCTATAACATTGCGGATGATTTTGAGTCATGTTCCCTAAAATATCTAACCATTGATTGCGACGCCAACCAGATAGTCCTGGCTTAGTTCAACTGTTAGAGACTTCACGGACTGGTGTCTTGTCACGGTTTGGCCAACCCTAGCTTTCTTTGAGTTTACTCCCACACCAGACGACATTGCCCATCGAGGTTGACGGTGGTTAGTCAATTGTAACACGTGCCCCAACCATTTCAGTTGATGAAAATTCACTACCTCATAAATCGACATCATGTTTACGTAATACTCTATGTCTAATATCGAGATCCCTTACTCGGTGATCCCGAAATATACGAACAATGTTTCGAAAACACCTATGATCGAATATTTGTAACATACGAATATTCTCTATTCTTAATGGCCATGCAACACACCCATGAGGTAGAACGGAGTGAACTGCTGTTTTTAGAATCTGTGCCGAGACTTCGTCGGAAACTAATCCAGTAGAGTTGATGAGGCTCCTAAGATAAGCGAGGCGGTTGACATGCTCAACCACTTCATTCCTTATCATTAAATTCAGACATTGACGTACACAAATCCTGAAGCAACATTTTGCATTTAGTGGGAGATAATTACATTACAAACATGCTTGCATTGTTACTTCAGGCGGTTATTGAATTCTGTATTTTTTCGGCGCCTTCACTAGACAGGAAGGATCATATAACTCGCGTAATCTGGTCGTCAAGTGGATCTCCTGATAAGAAATTAGCCCCTCAAAAATTAAACGACGGCAGCGTATTTTCCAAAAAAACTCCTAATATCGAAATAAAAACCCTGAGAAACGTCACTTGAAGTTACAAATTTTGATGACAGTTCGTCATAAGCTCTGGCTCTATCTATGTCATTCGAGGAGAACCTTCCCAATAGTTAATGTACTTCTTTGTTACCCTCTTTAATGACAAATAGTGCCACAAAAACTCTCAGTTAACTCAGTCGAATCCCGACCGTTGCTGCTGCCTTGAAGTGGTGGTCGGGCTTGCCGATCTTGATGAACCAATCGAGCTATACTGACTGGAACAATCGTTCATGAAAGTCCTACCATGCCAGATAGATCAGTTGAAGAGCGGTAAGACTAAAAGCAGTTAACCCAAGGTCCGAGGGAGAAGTAGTACTGCTTACTGCATAGAGATGTGACAGCGGTAAGGTGTTCCCTTCAGACAACCAGCATAACAGCGTTGCTACCTTTCCACAAGGAAGGTTGGGGTTAGAAAAGATCAACTCTAAAATGCACACCTCGCCCTATCCCACGAATATCCGTCTCCGGTAGTAAGGTCCCAACAAGTACGGAGCTTGTTATACCCTACTGAAGATTAAAGCACGGGTAACTTCTGAGATCTACTAATGGACTAATATTATATATATATATATATATATATATATATATATCACTATTGTACAACTGTTCAGTAACTAGATTATGTATATCTATATTCCTCTTATTATAAGCCTTTTGATGAATCTTACAGAAACCTATCTGAACTTCTTCAAAAAGCTAAACGTTTAGACATAGTACTCGTAGCAGGTGACTTTAATGCTCAGATAGGTAGTTTAAACCAAACAGAAAGGCATTTAGGTATTCCGGCTCAGTGAACAGATAATGGTGATCGTCTGCTGCAACTGTGCACCGACAATCGTTTATTTTTAACAAGCACTAGTTTAAAGCGTGAGAAGAGACGTCGTCTAACATGGCAACCCCTGCACCAAACCGACGATGGACTCAAATAGACCATATTGCCATCAGTCATCGTTGAAGTGGGTCGATTGTCGCTCATTCTAGAATAACTGCTTGGACTCCGACTATGCTCTAATACAAACACGCATCTGCTTGCGCCTCACTGGACGCAAAAAAGCAGGTGGTCCAGATGGATTGGCTCCAGAGGTCTTTAAGGATGGTGATCCAGTTTTAGAGATTAGGTTGACTAATATTTTAGCTAAAATCTGGTAGATGGACGTTATCCCATCTGGCTAGTCACAATCACTGATTCTCCCAACATATAAGAAAGGGTCAAAATCATCCTTTGATAACCATAGAGGGATTAGTTTGACTAACATAGCATCTAAAATATTAGCCTCAATAATCATCGGGAGCCTAACAAAGACTTGTGGACTTCAAGCACGAGAAAATCAGTAAGGCTTCAGACCTGAACGTGGCTTCATCGACAAATTCATCATTCGTCGTATTTTAGAACACAGGTAGGTTTATCGGCGTCCGACAATGGCGGTCTTTCTTGACTTAAAATTAGCATTTGACTCTGTAAACTGCGAGGTTCTGTGGCAGTCTGTCATTGAAAGGTGTAACTCAGAAGTACATAAACCTTGTGAAGGCTTTTTACTCGAATACTACCCGTCGAGTCAGAGCTTATAGCGAACTGTCATCTGATTTTGCAACCTCAAATGGTGTCTGTCAAGGATGTCCACCATCTCTACTTTTGTTCAATTTCATCATAGACATGCTGATGAAATTAACATTCTCGTCGAATGAATTTTCCGGCACTGACCACCTTCCGGGAGGTCCACTTGTCGATTTAGAATACGCAAATGACATAGTCCTGTTTGATGAAGACGTTGATAAAATTCAGTCTTTCGGTAGTTCATAGATTCTTGACAGTTTCATCATCAAATTGAGATATCTAAGAGGATATTTCGACATCCAGTAAAAAGGATAGAAATGAGTGCTATTATTGGGGCTTGGTCGGAGATCTAGAATGTATCTCAAAAAGACGGGACTCTTCAAGATGAGTGATGGCAGTGTAACCTATATAAAAATTTTGAGCATAACTGTAGAAGACGGTCACCGTTATCTCTTAGCTAGGAATGAAAGCTAAAAGACTCACATAAGTGTTTCTCAACATAACTAAGCCTACCAACTAAGGAAGTTAAGACACCTGCAACGATTATTGTTTCTGAGGGCCCTGATTTCTGAAGGAGATCAGAACGCCTCCTGCAAAACTCATTTTTATTGTGATTAGTAGAGGGCATTTCCACAAACGGCAAAGAAATAACAATATGTTTCTATATCTTATCAACTTCTCATTGTACCATTTAATTGCACAATACATGAGAAACTATCAGTATGAATACGGGCAAAATGTCCCTGTTCCTATCATGTCTCTAGAAGCATGAAGTGTAGATTGCATTGGCTCACCATACTATCTAGTTTAGATCAAGCTAACGGACCCACTGGGATACTGTATGCATATTTCAGAGACAGCACACATTAATGGCACAATATTCTACGGTCATAGTTAGTGGTGAAGCCTGTTGTCCGACTTGACACAGGGTTTGGACATGCAATAATCCGACGTGTAGTTTAGAGAGTCGTTCCAAAGGACCTACAGTAGCTTTCAGTCAGCAGGACTATTTAGTATCAGAGGCTCATGAAGAAAAAATAAATATTAAGAAGTCTCAGAGTGATCCCAGTGTCAACAAGGTAATCTCGTGTGTTGTTACAGACATGAGAGCGGTTGTTACTTTTCTGTTCTCCATATCGTGGAAGGATATTTCTCCTCAAAATGCCTGAGGAGAAAACTGGATTCCTTACGACTTGAGAGTGTGACTGCAGAACACAAGGGACAACTGACTCAAGCCAATCACACACAACTATTTAATAAACAGTTGTAGATACTTTAATATACTTTTCAGATCTCAACACCGGTGGTGAAAATCTGTGGGACAAGGTGAAATCTGTTGTTTCCAGAGCCTTATTACTGTCATACCCCTATACAGTCAGTAGTACGGCTTCACTCTCAGACTTCAAGTTGCTACTCCTAGTTTTAACGTCCTCCAACTGACCTGAAAGAGATGATAAGACCTAAAGGAACAAGTGGTCCAGCCAATGTAGCCAGATTAAGTCATCACGATATGCAAGTGCGACCACGTCCATAAAAGGCAAAGGTTGAATACATCTATATCATTGAGATCGATCATGACTTTTGTAATTCGACATTCCCAATCAATGGGAACGATAGTAGAGCGGACCTCAGTCAGACAGTTTGTACCTACCAATACTTTTCAGTCCGATGGTTTATAGACTCAAACCGTCTTGCTATGCCCCCCCAAAAAACTTATTATTGTACTATACGACAGATTTGGGATTACTGTTAGCTAGTGTATGAAGCTAGCTTGGACTGGACCCACACAGATCACTAGCAACTAATTATACTCCAAATATAGAGTAATATAAGTGTTAAAATATATGGTACTATTACCTATTTTAAACCATATCAAATGGGCATAATATTTTACTCGACTGGTCTTAAATCAGAATGAGAATCGGACGTCAACAAAAAAATACACTCGAAAATCCAAAAAGCAAAAGTTAGTATAGTAAGAACGTTAAACTGTATACAAAATCTATATAAGAATCTTTTAGTACTTTCCCATTTCATTCATTAGCACTAACTGGCTGAAAATTTGCCCAATCACGATCCTCTGGCTTCACTGATTTTGATATACGACTGATTTGAAGACTATGATGTACCTTAAATTGAAATTTGCAACTTATTTTCTTGATTAGTTACAATCAGATATTTATCACAGATTAGTTAGAGGCAGTAATAGCTAATCAGACATTCGCAAACAACGTGAGACTCACTGTAAACTCAAGAAGTGTTCCATGCACATCCCAAAATAAACTAGCAAAGTGATCACGGGATATGGGCCGTCCGTTTATCCGTATTCTTTCCTCAACGTTTATGAGGTGAGGAGAGCTATTTAAATAAAACACAAGTATACACACATAGGATTAGTTGACATAACACAGCCCTTTTGATCACTTGATGGCCCCGTATGTGGTGACAGTTGACAAAAGAAGGTGAACAATTTAATATGACTTAATATTCTTGATTGATCTGGGGAGAAGTTAAGCTTTCCTGTGAATAATGTTAGTTATAATTAGTATAGATAACTAAAATGATAACATCGATTGGTTATTTAGTTTGAGTTTTATTAAGACTACTTTCCAATGTGATACAAGTCAGCCAAAACGAACTTTATGAATCAGATTATACGGGTGGCTCCACGGAGATTCAGTGGCTTTGAGAAGCTTTCAATTATATCGTTATTACTTTTACTAAATTCTTCACCAGAGTAAGTCGAAAGAGCAGTTTTCTTGTTTTGTTAACTATTTAGCAACTTCTTTATTACACAGGAAATGCTCCAATATAACATAGAGAAGCTTATCAGATACTTGTTTTAAAGTTTATTCAGGCTCAAACATTAACAATCAGAGTAACTCGTGATGAGCGTCCAAATAAATACTCCATGAAAACCTAAAGTCACGCACTGAGATGACAAATGATGGCGGTGAGTAAACAAGTAATTGTTGAAGTGAAGTTTGGAAAGACGATTAAAACGTTTCTCGAAGAAAACTACTTAAATCCAACACTTCTGGCGTCACTAAAAAATAGACTCTTCAATTGTTAAGGCTCCAACAGTTAAATATACTGGTTACTGCCTAAAATTCGCATTCTGATTATAATGACTACAAAAACAAAAGGTGAATGTATACACACACTAACCTTAAAAACCCAGTGCGAAATCCGGATTTCTGTAAGACGTTTTCAATCATTGAACAAACTGAACCTTTGCCTTTAGACCCTGTAACATGTATAACATGTAAGTCACGTAGTTGCTGATCCTGTTGTACAAATAACTTGAGCAAATTCTTGAACATACTTCAATTCCAACAGCAGAGCAATAAACAGCGGACAACCCATACCTTTGTTCTTTCAAAAGCCTTGGATTTGACGGTGTTAAGTAATTCGACAGCTTAATAGACTTGTTAAGTTCATGTATGGCATCCTTTAAACACTTAGAACACGAGTCAACTTACTTGATAAGAACGAATGAAACATGGGACCATTTTACGAAAAGTCATTTGAAAATATTGGTCCCTTGGGTGAATTCATTAATAAACCTGAAAAATTACAAAGTTGAACAGAAAAAAAATTCAAGAACCGGATGCTGAAAGACAAACCCATACTTAAAATTATTACTCTTAGTAATTAAGCTAAGTGAGGCACTAAACATCCCATTTTTTGAACTCGAACAAGCATATTTAAGGCGTTAAACGGGACCGAGACTGTTATAATCTCTTTTCCTACGGTATGACCCAGCCATTCCTATTGCTTAATATTCTTGACACCAAATCACTCGACAAGTCCCCAAATCAGAACATGGTTGAACAGGAAAGAGATTATATTCCAAATAACAAGGTTAGATGGAAGTAAGAAGAAGCAAGTAAGAAGCACAATAGAGAAAACGTTAGTATATTTATAGTTTTTACATGAGAAGATTCTAGAGTATTCTCCAACTATCGACCAGTGCTGATTGGATAAGAATTAGCCAATCAGAGTGCAGCAAAGCAATCATGCATTGAGCATGCTTTAATCCAGTCTATGTCCCGCCAACAGAGACCAACATTAATCACTTCAAGGGTTTTAACGTTAGTGTTTTTGCCGACTATGACCCATTATTTGTTATATGCAACTTTGACATAGTAATACGATCAAACAAACAAGACTGAAAGGTACACTTATTTCACGAAAATTAGCGACACACATTTCCAGCAAGTGATGTAACAGTTTAAAGTCACGTTCTTGGATCGTTTAGTCACAGTTCTGTTAAGTATGAAGGAGTCACTAAGCTATTAGAATCTCGTTACGCTTACTGCGATTCGGACAACCGGGTAATATTATTAGTCTTCATAAAAAACTGATAATTCATAGTATCTTGGTTACCTTGTTGATAACATAACCAGATTAGTGGTGTTGCCCTTTGAAATCTGTTTGGATGAGATTTCGAGATTTATTCAGTTAGTAAACTACCTGTCGGGTTATTTTTGTCTTTTGAATAACACCAAATCATTTGTATTGTTATAAAAGTTACTATTACCTTCCTCACAGTTACATTTTTCCACCTTCGTAGGAATATGAGTTATCGCTCCTTTATGTTTTTGTTTAACTTACACTAGACACTAGTTCTTAGTTAATCACATACTTTATGCGCTAAATATCACATTTACTGTTTTTTCAAAACCTGTATATTGAAAAAAGTAAATTTGAGACGTTAAGTGTGACATTCGGTCTGAAATCTCAAGAACTAAATAAAATAGGCACATAACTTTTCTGTTAATCCATGAAAGAAAAATGTAATGTGCCGTAAAGTGAAGATACTTTTGAACTAAAATTAAGCTACCTTCGTATGCACAAATTACGAATGTTATTTTTTGTTTAAGAGCAATTACTTAAATACTTTTTTGATAATCAAGTTAAACACAAAATATAGAACACAACTAAAAGAACAAGGTATCTCACAAAAAATCGGATTACTCTCAATATTCATAAACAAAAGCATTAAATTGATCGTATTAAGAATTTTGTAAAATAACAATGTGGCTATAAGTACTGTGACAAATAGAATAATGTATAGACAACGGTACGTAGATACAACAGAATTTATTTATTTATTTGAACACAAATATTGGTACAAAGGGGCACCAAATACATGCGGCACACAAGTCATTTGACTTGTGTATGGGCTGTGATACTGCCCGGGTGCTCAGATCGAAGAGGGCGGTTTTTCTAGGGGCCCACACCCAGATACAAGAGAAATGTTAGCCTCAAGAAATATAAAACTGTACACTAACGAACGGATTTTGTAAGCATTTGCGTTTTACAGTAAACGTAAGCAATTTATATTATCAGCGTGAACAACATGTTTTTTTCTATCGCATTAACGAAATGGCAGACCGAAGGTTTCATTTCACTTTCCCACATCCAACCAGTTTACTGTTTTGTATCATCTATAATGATGCGTATTGAATATCATTTGGGTGCTGAAAGACGTCGCTACAACTTATCTTTCGTCTAGTTTCAGTGAAGACGTAAGTAGGTATTTTGCTAAGTTCATATTTCGAAAGTGAATTTAAGGTTAAATGTACATGAATTTATATTTTCGACCTAACTTATTCCAACTTTGCTCGATAACGACAGCAGGAAACTTTAATTGCCGTATTTAAGACGAGACGTGAATAGGGGTTAGTCATTTATTTGTAAATTACGTTCACTTTAATCAGAACTGACTTGATAATCTCGTGGGAGGAAACACGCTGTAGATTCCACTAGAGTAACAATACAATGTCTTTCTAGCTTTGTATTAATAACTTAACCGTTAAAATGTTTTGTAGAAAAAGGCACCATGATGCAAATTCAAATACAAGATAACTTAATTGTATAGCGTTTTATTATCTCGAACATATGAAAATGCTGATAAATACATCCGAATTTCTAAGAGAAACATGAATTGAGTTTAATTCAACAAACATTTACTGAGGTATAAACTAACCTAACAGAATACGGAGGGAATAATGGAGTATTAGGAATCTGTGAAAACCGAGTTTTGCGTTGTGAGGAAAAGGAGAATAAAACTTTGATGGTTATAGAGGATGAAAATAAAGCGAGGAACAAGTAAATGGTACTCGAATGTCTCATTCGACCGAATTTTCTATAATTTGATACATTATTTTCCTTTATTTATTAGTATATTAAATTCACTGATATTAAACAGGGACTGAACTAGTTATTCTAACCCTCAGGCGAATAAGAGCTACCTAATATCGAGTTTTCTAGGTGCAGTACTTGTAGTTTGCTGCTGTTATTACTTGATTTTAACATTGTCATAAAATTTTGTGGAGCCAGATGGTGTTATGCAGAGGAATCTGTGAAGCTAAATGTTGAATCCAACTTACAAGTTTGGTTTAGCCCCACGATATTGTTGACTGGATAAGCAGAAGTAGGCGGTTTGTTAACGATCACTTTAGTAAATAAGTAATCTGATAGTGATATACGAACTGAAGATGGATTTATGTTATGATGGTGTGTCTTTTGTCGTAGAAAAAAAATATTTCAACAAGCTCACTGATCATTCGTTCCAACCAAAGTTTGGAACCTGTCAGGTTTTAGGGACACGAATGGGTGGTCAAATGACTTTCCCCAATGGTGAACACGATTCGAGAACTGATGTCACTATTCATAGTAGGTCCCAATCTATCCATCATCGTAGTAGGTCATTTGAAAATCTGCCAGTGGATATGATAAAATGTTTCCCTTCTGAACCGACGCATATGATATACTTAGGTGTTACTAAAAAACTTATTTCATTATGGAAGGAGCTAGCTATTAAGCGACTTAATAGGATGGATCGATCTATTAGCGCATCAATAAATGAGGCACTAGACTTATGTAGGCAGCACACTGCATGCGACTTTCAACGCAAATGTCGCTCACTACATGAAGTTTCCGTATGGAAAGCAACTGAATGTCGGTTGTTCTTAGTGTACTTAGGACCTGTAGTTCTTCATAATAGGTTACCACTGTCAATGTACAGAAACTCCCACTCACTCTCCTTGTTAATGTATTTATTATCGCACCCCAAGTTGCACACCACATTCGCAAACAGTGTTCGGGTTTATATTAATAACTTATTAGGTTACGAAAAGTGTTACGGTACCGAACACTTAATCTACAATATGCATAGTTTAAAGCACATTGCAGAGGACGTTATAGAACATGGCAGTTTAGAGTCGTTCTCTGCCTTTCCTTTAGAATCGTACATGAGGAGAATTAGGCGTTCAGTACACTGCGGATTTGCTGCGGCTAAACAAGCCGCACAGCGATATGCCGAAGAACTTTACTTTCAAAGTATACTGATATAAGTAAAATGCTCATGAATGCGGTCAATAAACTGTGTACGAAGATTGATAAATTTATCGCTTCCAATGAACGCTTATACATAGGTGTAAGCGACAGGCGTACAGAACAAACAGATACGACAGCTATTGTTTTCCCATTGAGAACGCATCAGGAGTTGCGTTCATTAGAAGCTGCTCTAGATGAGCAAAAGTTCAGGGATCATTTCGTAAGTTGTAACGGTTGTGTTTGAAAAATTTTCAGGTGGTACGATTGCACGGCCTACTATGTGAGGATCCACGAAAATCAGCAAAAGCTTGTTTACGCTACCTGCTGTCGCCTGAATTGGCGAACACATACACTTTACACGGAACGAAAACTAAATTGGGTATTAGTAACTACAAATTTTACCGGACGGTTAAAAGTAAGTCCACTCTACTGTACTAAAATATTTGTGAGTGTTCTGTGTTCCCAATTTCGAAGTGCGACTTGCCCCGAAAAAGAAGTTATAAACGCCTTGGATATAGCAAGCCGGGCTTTCCTGCATGACGCAAGAGACAAATTAATAAAGCGTGGATGGCGATCCAAAGAAAGGGTAAGCTAAAACCACTTAACATGTTTGTTATAATACATATTGCACTTTGAATATAACTTTGTGATCAATATTTTCACTGAAACAAATTTTCTTTTGTCCGTCTTGCTTTCAGCTGGCTTCGCCTGTTTTATCAGACGTAACTGTAAGTACTTTGTTCGCATTATTAAGAACATTGTCATACGATGTTCTCCTTATCGACGTTTCCCACATCTTGACATTTCCTTATGCACAAAACTTTTTTCTTTTAGAAAATTGACAGTTCAAAGTCAAAGTAACCTGTTCCTCTGACGAAGCAATGAAAACCATTTTATAATTGATTGATTTGTAAATTCATTAACTGTAATAAACATTTCTATGGATCACAAATCAGTCTCTTACTAAGAGCGATAAATGGATTACCGTTAAGTTTCTTTGGCAATGCGTAATTGACTTGAAATTAATGTTGCATATCAGTAAGAAATGTATGTAGGTATTCTCGCAACGTTTTCCGTGATTTCTAGAGGTTTTGATATAAATTTTGCGTTCAAAAATTTTCGGAGATAAACACTGTGGACAATTTGAGGAAACTTCCCCTACGTTTAAGGAAATTTTGGGGGTTTTGTGCCATTTCCCAAGAATTTACTATAGCGGCTTCACCTAAATTGGCAGTTCGTGACTTGAAATTTTTTCAAACACAACTGTTACAACTTACGAAATGATCCCTGAACTTTTGCTCATCTAGAGCAGCTTCTAATGAACGCAACTCCTGATGCGTTCTCAATGGGAAAACAATAGCTGTCGTATCTGTTTGTTCTGTACGCCTGTCGCTTACACCTATGTATAAGCGTTCATTGGAAGCGATAAATTTATCAATCTTCGTACACAGTTTATTGACCGCATTCATGAGCATTTTACTTATATCAGTATACTTTGAAAGTAAAGTTCTTCGGCATATCGCTGTGCGGCTTGTTTAGCCGCAGCAAATCCGCAGTGTACTGAACGCCTAATTCTCCTCATGTACGATTCTAAAGGAAAGGCAGAGAACGACTCTAAACTGCCATGTTCTATAACGTCCTCTGCAATGTGCTTTAAACTATGCATATTGTAGATTAAGTGTTCGGTACCGTAA